TTTAAATATGTCTGATCATAAAAAAAAAATTATTAAACTGAATTTAAACAATTCCAATCTTAGTAAGCATATTCCTAATTTTTTTTTTGGACCCCTGTTTCTGTAACAAAATTGACAAATCTTACTAAAAATATAGGAAACACCTTCTTCATTGTAAATTCTATTACTAATAAGGTTATCAAAAACACAAATAAAGTCTCAACTTTTCCATTATCAATTATCTTCAATAAAATGTTCTCCTCTGGGATTTTTCCTGACTTATTTAAAAATGGTAATGCAACGTTATGTAATGATTACCTATTTCTTTGATGTTAATAATTAGTAAACTACTTGAAAAATGTATACAAATTAGATTGAATAATTTTTAGATAAATACAATTTTTTTAGTAACAATTTGTTTGGTTTTAGAAAGAAATTGTCCACTGATTATGTAATGTTTAATATAAGTCTCTGCAATTTTTTTTTAACCCAATAGCAACAAAATAATTATATAATAAATATATTACGTGTTTTTTTTAAATAAATAGTATAAACAATTTATCAATAAAAAAACTGTATACAAAAAAATTCTAAATAATAATTATGAATACAAAACTATTAACAAAGCTATACTAAAGTAATCAATTAGTCTATTTATATAATTTAAGATAATGGTAGGGAAAAAATCATCTGAAATAATATTTTAAATAACCACATATTTTGAAATATTTTTTTTATATTTAATAATATATACCTATATAAATATGAATATCACACATTGTACACTTTTTTTTGCTGAGTATTATTTTAGTATTCTTACACATTACTTAGTTCTGATTTTAAGCATTAAACAATTTTTTTAAACATAACAATATGTGTTATTAATTGTATTTTTATGTGCAATTTGATTTTTTTTGTAGTTTTTACATAAAATATGTTTATTAAGATTAGTAAAGATTATTTATTCGCATTGCCTTAAAATCTGAACCCACAAATAATAAAATGTTTAACATAATAACCAGAGCATTTTATAGCACTGAAAATAACTAAAATATGACCTAATAAAACTTAAAATAATTGCTATAATACACATACCATAAAAACATGAAAAATAACCAAAAAATAAAATGTATTTACTTTTTCTGTTTTTAATGTTTTTAAATATATAAATGTACACCCATAAGAAGACATAATGTATACTGCTCGCTCTAGTATTTTTATCTGAATTCTATAATATCTAACAAATACTATACAATCCTAGCTCTGGTATTAACAAAATATTAAATTTATTGCATACACTATCATTTATTTTAACTAATACTTAATCTATTTATGGACTTTTTAATATAGGTTGCCATTTGAAAATGAAAAGTAGGTAGTTGTTTCACCCCCAAAAATAAGGGTGATAAAAAATAACACAAATATAAAATTGTAAAGCAGCTTGTTTCTTAAATATTCTAGAAAACAAATTCCGGAAAAAGTTAATATTTCCCGAGATAATGAGCGTACCCACTTAAATGAATCACCTGAGATACAGTTGATTTGATAACGGCAGGTGATATTAGAGCAATTACAGGGCCCTCGCACGTAGACAGTGTAAACATTGTCGACAACAACAACGCACGCGTTGTCCAGATACGTATATCATTTTAACACCGCGATCGGAGACAATAATTTCTGTACCTATAGCAGCGACTAACGTAAACAACAAGAATATTTTAATAAAAAAAAGAGGAGCAAATAAGACATGAGAGTAGATTAAGTTCATTACAGCCAGGGCCTTATATAATGTCAGCAGTATTAGATAAAGAGTTCGTAATAGTATAACAGGGTAAGAGAGACCTTATACCATTTATAAGGATAACAAAAATAAATATTCGAAAAATCCTATTTAAAAAAATAAAGAAATCCCACTAAATAGCTCAGAGCAAACATTCAACCGAGTATCCACTTCTGTTGTAAACGGAGAGGAATATATATTTTATGCCATTTATTATATTATTTTAGATAGGAAAAATTACGAGTCACGGAGAAGGAAGTAGGTATTATGGCGTAAAGGGATCGAACGTTGATATATACAGTAGAATCCGCTTAATTGGGACACATTGGGCGGTGACCTCTTTGTCCCCGTTATCCGATTGTCCCGATTAACCGAATAAGCACTTGATATTTCTCTGTGAAAGCGTTTGAATTTAATATTATTCCGGTCCTTCCAACGACTTATCCAACCTTCTGTGGCCTTAAAATTACCATGTCGAATTTTTTCAGTAAAAAATTCAGCTTTCTGCTGTAACACGGGGCCCGAAATACGAACACCACGTTCTGTAACAGCAGAAAACCATTCGTTCAGAGCTTTGTCTACTTCGGGATCTTTACCTTCTCGCTTTCTTTTTCTGTTTACAGATGTACTTTTGTTGTCATTTAATTTTTCCCACTGTTCGCGAATAGCTTTTTCATTATTTTTTAATCGGCTTAGGACCGATTTAGAGGTGTCTATTATTTTCTCTAACTCACGAAGACTGAAAGAATGACGTTGAGCTTTAATTTTATCCAGATTAGAAATGTTTTCAATCAACGTTAAATCTTTACGAGACATAATTGTTACGTATTAACACAAACTGAGATCAATAAAAACACACATACGTTAACACGCATAGACGAAAGAACGCGAACTAAAGTTTTTCAATTTTGTACGTAGGCCAGTCGACTCTTATCGTGGTATTAGAAGAAAAATAAATGATTACCTATATAATAGAGCTGTAAAGATTAGATAATTACAGTTTCGATAAGAGGTAGATAGATAATTTAGGTCAGAATATCTAATTAGACGCTTTTATTTTTGTCCTTTATAACCGATGGTTTGTCCCAGATAAACGAAGTTAAATTGCCTTCAACGAATTACATTCGTCCGGGTCTATGCCAATTTGTCCCCATTTAGCGGTTGTCCCTTTTATGCGGTGTCCCAATTAAGCGGATTCTACTGTATATAGATCACGTCGACATACTTAACAATATGTATGTACAGTTTATGTGAAATATCCCTGTCCTAGTAGCTATAAATATGTTTATACTTAAAGTTTTGATCAAATATATTTGTTTATAAGAAAAAAAAGAAATTAATAATGTGTAATTATAATTGTATTTTGTATTAATATTGTCATTCGGAGAAGGGATATTGTAATAATTGGGTTTATGTTTATTTATTTTAAGATAATTAACTATAAGATGTAATTGTAAATGGAAAAAAAAAAAAGAGAAAAATGTATCGACTCACAGTAGCATTAGGGAAAAATTGTAAAAATCTGTGTTACCCATACAATATTGTAATATGAGTACCACTAAGAAGTTCAGATTAGAAATGCGATTCTAAGTTAAATTGTAAAAGCTTTATATTTTTAAGAACTAAACCGACGACGTTCCCACGGAACAACGGATGATACGTGTTCATGGGCCAAAGGGAAAACGTGTCCGGGTAAGGACGACGTGTCGCTAGTAGACAACGGCGGCAGCGTCCATCACCAAAAATCATTTATTTTAGATTCTGAGTGGAGAGAAGAAGCTTATAATTTTACAAATATGTTTACTATTTTTTTTTTTTATCTATAAGCAATTTTTCTACCAAAAGACTTGCTCAGATTTTTTACTGTAGCACATTTTCTGAACGAAAATCGGTGTAGAGAGGTACTTTAGAAAGGTCATTTTTCGATTTTCTCAATAGTTTTCTCATGAAATTCGAATAACCGAGAAAAAAAACCGGGAAAGTATAAGAAATGTGAGTATTATTTAAAATATATTACGCTCTATATTCTATGCTCAACTTTCCTACAAGCAATTTTGCTCTAATTTATAATGATAGCAATGTTTCTAAAAAGAAAATTGACTGGGGAGGTACTTTAGAGAGGCCATTTTTCGATTTTCTCGATGTATTATTCTTTTTCCCGTTCAGATATTGGGACTCAATTAGTACACAGAGCCTTAAATAGATGGAATATTAGTTAAAATAAATGTTGATGTTGAAATATTTGTGAAATTTTTAATATGACTAGACTCGAATTTTCGCCACGCTAGGACTTCTTGTATCTATTTTCAGATATAGCCGATTCCCAACATTGCGGCGGCCGCGCGCGTCTACTGCCGCGCGGCTATGACCGCTCCAAAAGCAAAAGAGACGCGGTCGCGTGCGCGTTTTCAAAAATAATCTGAAAAATTGTCGGAATTTTTTCTCATCTCTAAACAAATGTTTCTCGATTATAATACAAAAATATCCATCTTTTTTTCTAGATTGAAACATATCATACATTTTTTTTAATGTAATTCGATCAATAATAATTTCTTCTTCTTCTATTTCTTTTAACAGCAGGGTAATCAAAACTTTTGTTTTTTTTTTTTCTTGCTGACGAAACATTGTTCAAAATGATTATTAATAATCAAAAATTTAATAAACACTTGTGCACTCAATGCAACGTGCAAAGTTGTAATAATTGCATAATTGTTGTACTGCTATGATCTAAAACCAAAAATACGTGCCGCGCGTCTGTTGCGGCGCGTTTTGTAAACAGTCAGTCGCGCCGCGTCAGCCGCGCCGGTCGCGCGTCACTAGACGCGTCCTAATAAATTACATCTTAAATTAACTTTTAAAAATAATAATAGTCTTACAGACGCGTGGTGCGGTGACGATACCGGTAAAATTTAAATTATATATTATATTGACGAGACATCAACAGCACGATCGTTCATGAAATAATAAAACGCGAGGAAGCGGGCTCGTGACGTGTCGTCGAGACAGCGAGTAGTGGGCGTGGTTATGGCCTGCCGCGATGGAAGCGATACGGTGCGCAACGCTATCTATCGAGCGTTGTTTCGTTTCACTTTCGGTGTGACGTCCTCTTAAAGACTATTCTAGAAAGCGTAATATAAAATATTACAGTTCACAACACTGTTCCCACCGTGTTGCTAAATTAATCAATAATGCGATGTGAAAGGCAGTAAAAGAGCTACAGTTTTGGCAGTCTTGCGCCGTGGAGCGATGTGGAAATGATGCTCGATCAACTAATCGGCCTAATGTTTGTGTGTGTTCAGAAGTCTCAAAAATCAACAGATATAGGTACATATAATATTCAATACTAACTACTAACTAATCTCCAATAATACTCAATATAATACGATTTCAAATATTATCTTAAACTATCATGATATTATTCTATCTGAAATCGTGTTATACAACTTCTATGTTTCGTAAAAATCAACAGCCGCCATTTTAATCGAGGGTGCAACGCCCTTGTCTGTTAATATTAATAAATAATTCTTTAAAGTAAAGTAGGTTATTTATTATATTACCTATATTCATTATTTATATATTGATTCGATATTTAATATCAATTAATTATCTATTTTTAGTTTTTTAATAAAAATTAAAAAAAAGTAATTTAATAATCAAGTATTATAAAATATTTAGTTGTGCATTGTCAGTTGTAATCCGCTGTTTTCTGCAATCTTAAGGTACGTATTAAGGTTACTTATTTTACTAAATTAATTTTATATGGTTCACAAAATACATGAATTACATTCCAACTACACTCTTAATATTGATTATGTTGTTAATTTAGTTTCTACATAAATTATATTTTGTTACCTACGTCTTTAACAAATAAGTTTTTTGTTTTAATAATCAATGGTTTAAATAAAGTTTATGTTAACCTGGTAGTTTTATATACACTGTCATAGGCTAGTTTATGCCACCTCCTTGTTTTATTTAGGTAAATTTTTTTATTAAATTAATTTCATCTTCTATATTACAGTACCTATGCATGATCTTGAATAATACAAGTATCAGCTATAATAGTTCAAATACAATACCTAATACAGTTTAAATTATGTAGAAGTCTTTTTTAATAGCATAATCACTTATGTACCTACCTAGTACAAACAATTTTCAGTAATCAAATTTAGTTTATGGAAATATAATATTACTGTGTTCTGCCAATAATCTATTTCATGCTCATTACTATCTAATTTTTAGACATTTTATTGTTATATTTAATAAAGTAAGTTTTTAATTGATGATAATAATGTAGAATTTCTAAAGTTCATTGAAATGGAATCTTGCAAAAAGGTACTACTGTAGACAAATTTGCCATTTATTAAACCAAAAAATAATTTTCTATGTTGACAAAAATTGTAAAAAAAATGTATTTTTCTTACTCTTTTATAAATGTTGACTAGTCTACATCTTTGAAGAATACTACAAGTATTCTATTTTATACACTTTGTTTCGTCTAATTTCAAATATAATGAATAAAAATTGCTTTTATCAATCCCTTCACAAATACATTTTTAAAAAAATCAAATATTTCATCTGGAACTCTTAATACATTTTAGTATTGCTTCACATTTCTCAAATTCAATTGAAGTTACAGAAATATATAATAGAGAATCTGCAATGTGTAATACCTAATGTTAGTATGGTAAGTTTTACTTTCATTTAATTTCCCTTCAAATTTATGTGAATTAAACTTATATATATATTTCCATTCTATTAACTATTGTCTGCTTCTTTAAATGTGCCAAAAGTCTCTAATGAGTTTCTTCTGGGGTTTCTAGTCCGTTTCACATTCTGGTATCTACCCTGCGTGGAATATATATTTGGTTCCCAAATTGGAATTGGTCAATTTTGAAATCAGATTTAATTGAATCATAATGTTTGTTTAAGTCACAAGTTAGGTAGGTTACGTTAGGTTTCAACATTCAATTTATAATGTAATCACTAAACAGATAGGTTAAGTATAAAATAAATAATAAATATTAACTTGAGAAAAAATTGAATTTTCAATACAGATATTTGATTATTAACACAATGATATGCGGAACATGAAGACACCAATAATTGTATAGTAACCAGGCTCGACTGGCCTGGACCGCAAGTCCACGATTGCAGATGGGGCCCTCAGTTAGTTGTGTTATTAGTTTATTACATTTTTGTTTTAGATGTCATTATAATTAACAATATGCAAATGTAAATGGATAAAAAAATATTTTTAATTGTAAATAATATCACTTATACCTACAGGGTGATTTTTTATCATGAACCAACAATTATCTCGAAGAATTTTAAGTGAATTTGAATTTTGTTTTTTCTAATCATTATGGATTCGTTTAAATTTAATTTTGAAACTATTTTTAATTAATTATTTCTAATCTACATACCTTAACAAGTACATGCTTTTACTTTTCAAATAAATACCCCCCTCAACTTTGAACATAGATTTGAATAGGGAAAATTTTTCTAGACATTTTGATGTGCATAACACCAATATCAGATTTACTGTTCATGAGTTAAAACTAGGATTGGATGTTTATGCACTTAAAATTACCAGGTATGCAATCTAAATATGTACTCAAAAAAAAAAATATGCATTTTTAGTTAAAAAAAACACCAAAATATGCGCTTTATATAATATAATGTAATGATTTATTCTTCCAAGAATCCAAAAATCTAAATGCATAAATGTAAATAATTTTTGATCCTACCACTTATTCGTGACCTATAATTTTTAGTGTTAGGTACCTATTTCGATCTGTTCAGTGTTCAGTCTAGCAATATGTACTTTTAATCTCTTTGGTATCATTGAAAACTAATTTGATTTTATCTAAAATTTTGTATAGGTAATAAAATATAGTAAATAGTAATTACAATTAGCAATTGGACTACAAATTACAATACCTTGTATAAAATGTGTAAATTATATTTCATAACCATAATATACAATGATAATGATTTGTTAACAATTTAGTAATCCAATATTTAACAAAACTGTAAAATATTTTAGAAATACTTTTAAATTATTTGAAGTTTGAGGTATACCAAATATTTGATTGTGTGAATTGGGTTTTAAACCATACATAAATAGTTATTATCTTATATTAATTAACAATAAAACAAACAATACATCTTTTAAGTTTAATACACATTTTATTTTTGAATATACATTTTAAGAAAAATAAGTCTATTATGATCATACTTTTTTTAAATAAAAATTCCAACGTACATCAAATACTTATAACAAATTTGAATAATCATGCAATTCAAACAATTTTGAATTAAAACAGTATTCTAGTTCTATTGAAATTTTAGAAAAATGTCTATTAAATCTATTTATAATACCTAAATCATACTAATCATCGGAAAAGCTGATATTGTAATGGTTTTGTATAGTATACTTGTATTCTATATTATTATTATTACATAGTTAATTTTACCTATACAGGGTGATATTTTTTTATCATGAATTAGCAATTATCTACTTACCATAACCATTATCTTGCCAGGATTTTAAGTGAATTTAATTTCTAATTTTTATAATTATTATAGAATCGTTTAAGCTTAATTTAAAAACCATTTTTGTAGTTTGGTCGCACCTAACAAGCCAGTAAGAAGTGAAGAAAACAAACATTTTATACTAATTTAGCTTTGACACATTAATTTCATATTATTTTTTTAAAATTAATAAATTTTTTGATGAACATTTTTTACTTTGAAAATTCATTAGGTTTATTTATACAACCAATATTCAAAATTAATAAGAATTCTAAAAAAATATTTGTACAATACTTGTTTTTAAGTTATGAAAGTTTTTGTACATATACTAGAAATGTACCAGGTTGAACTTTTTAGCAATTATTATCATAATCCAAACCCTAGATTAGATTTTTATAATTTTTTATAAGTAAAATATACGTGTAAAACAGTTATTTTTGTTTTCCTGAAAATTTTAATTTTAGACAAAATTAATTTCATAAATAAGCGATTCAAGTACAATAATTAATAATAATTAATAATTGATAAAAAATAATAACTGGTTTATAGCGACCTAACTAATAATGTAATAATACGAAAAAAAAAAAAAACTTAACTGAAACCGAGTAATTTTGTTCAAAAAACATTCTTTCTTGCAACAAAGTGTCAACACAAGAAAAATTTTTACCCAGGTAGTCAGTACTAGAATTAAATAATTTTTAGGTTAAATACACGATAAAGTACTGAGGTTTTGTTATTGTAAAGAATTTCTTTAAATTTATTTAGCTAGTTACAACGGTTAAAAATATTTAAAAAATATTAATATTATTAAAATTAATTAACTTAATTACTTTAATTAATATGCATTGATAAAGAAAAAATGACCAACATAATTTAATATTTTAGCATTGAGTACAAAAACTATACAGGCTGTCTCACAAATAAGCTGATGTCTTAAATATCTCCGGAGATAATAAAGATAATCAAATTCTGTTTTTTTCATATTACTCACAGGGATAAGGACCACAAATATTTAATTTGAATTTATTTTTATTTTTAGTATCAAAATGACTTTATTTTATTATTTTCGAAAAATTTTAAGATAGTCATTTAGTAGAGTTATCTTTCTTAAAATTTTAATGTTTAATTTTCATTTTAAATTCTGCTGATCCGTGTGAAAACCGATGTTATCGCGTAATGCTGTTAGCTTATTCCAGTGGTTTTCAAACACAGTCCAAAAAACAGAATTTGATTATCCTTATTATCTCCGGAGATATTCAAGGGGTATATTCATGGACAGCCTGTATACTCTGTCTCAAAATAGAATACACCGGGTTTGCGCATCGTGACTGTAACTCTTAGCCCGATTTTCCCCCACTATGCTGCCACTAGTGGACCGGTTACTATAGCAGATACGCGAAAACGAACAAAATCTGATCGGCAGCCGGTGTATTCTAGTTTGGGACAGTGTAGAAACACGGGGCAACACATAACTAGAAAATTTTGTCCACACTGACCAACTTGTCGTTACCTGTCACTGTGTGTTACTAATTAATGAATTCCGTGTTTCGCTTTTAACCGGAATATGGAACAAATAGGAATTTTTGCTGCTGACAAAATAAACACGCAGTGACATTTGAAAACAGTTTTCAACTTTTAACAAGCAACATGTGCAACTGAAAATTTTGCTGTATGTTGCTCTAGTGTGGACCCGGTTAAAGTTATCAAACAATACGGTAAAGATACGACAACAATGGCGGAGAAAATTAGGCATTTGCTTGGCGAAACTAAAATGAAAATAATAACGGCGCAACGGCAACGATGCGTCGTAACTTACAAGAGTGAAAAATGAAGGAGCGTGATCATTAATCCCTACCATCAAACCGTTATGGCCAATTGTATGTGATCATACACGAGTAATGGAGGCAATGGCTGCACACGAATAATTGCGTCCCAAAATAAAATATCCGACAACATGAATTATTGCGTCCCGGATTTTTCTGAACGACTATACCAATTTACGTCCGTTCTATCTGAAAATTATATTTTAATATTCCAGTTTTATACAAATTATTATTTTGTATAGATTACACTTTTAGTAGGTATGTGTGTCGTCTGTTTTAACTCGTAGTTTGTTTTTATTATTATAAATTTATAACGTACTTATATAATTCGTATAAAATTCGTTCGCGTTTGCCTAAACTTCGACGTGATTTTAAATGACAATAAAAAAATTGAACTTTATTTTGTATAAATAAATATAAATTTCGTTACCATAAAATATTAAAGAATAATGTTCGATAATGGAATTGCTGGTAAAAAAAGTTTAAATATTATTTTTGTATTAAATAAAATTATTAAAATGACATTATAAAATGTGCAAATGATCATAATCATATAAAAAATTCTGCCAAATTATATTAATAGACAAAAACTGAATAATAGTTTATAATAATTTATAGTGTTATTTAAATGCTTTAAAGCTTTAAACTTTTAATTGTGTAATAACGATCAAAATCAATATTTTTAGCCTATTAATAGTAATAAGTTTGTAATGACAGTCCTTATAAGTTTGTAAAAAATGGGAAGGCATATAATGTTTTTACGATGGGACGCAATTCATGAAATCGTTAAATATTATAGGAGCGTAGTTCTTATGAAAAAATGATCTTGGGACGCTATTAATTTCCTGCAGAAGCAAGGTGCCAGTAGTGGAGATACATGTGTGAATCTGAACGTATTTTTGTCTGCCACCGCACAGTGACAGGAATTGATATTTTAAGCAGATAATTTTTTTTTTTTTTGTAGTGTAATTTCTGAGGAAATAGAAGAAAAAACTTAAAATTATTATTTGGTTTTTAAAATCCCAAAGTAATTAATTGTTGCTTATATTATGTACTAATGGATGTCACTGGACTTTGCTGGATAGTCTTTTCATTTAATTTCATTGTTTTTTTTTTTTTTTTTTTTTTTCATGTATAAGGATGTCAACAACTTTTTTGTTTGCAATTGTTTGTATATGATGTTCACTTTTTTTCTTCAGCCACTCCAAACAAAATTTGAACCTAACTGATCTTTTGGTTTATATAATATTTATTATAATTATTTCCACTTGATATGATATTTATTAAATTATAACTTTAAAGAATCTTGAAAAATCATTTCTATCTTTCAAATCCAACCCAGCTATTATAAAAGATTTTAATAAATATTGTAAAAATAAATAATTATCAATATAATGGAACTCAAAAATATGACACTTGGTACTTTCCAAGGACGTATTAGGAAACTAATTTTTATATAAAAGAAAATAAAAATGTTTTTTAATCCACAATCAAAAATATTTATTCAAAACTGAAATTTAAAATAAAAATTAATTTTATAGTTTATTTTAATACTTTTTGATATACAATGTTTTTAGTTCTTCTATTTGACGCATATATGTATAAAAAGATTTCCTGAATCACTAATTCTTGAACATGCTACACATAACTGACCATGAAAAAAGCATGATGTATCAAGAAAAACTCCTGTAATCTTTAACGATTCTCCCAGGGATTTATTATTAGTAAAAGCAAAGGCAAGTTTTACTAGAAATTACAATCTTTCAAATTCGAATGGAGTATCACTAGGTATGAGGGGTATTCTTGGAATATATAGATTTTCACCTTTACCACATCCAGTTAATATTGATGCTTCAATTATGTGATTATTGAAAGATTTTATACACAATCGAGTTCCATTACATGATTTAAGTGGATTAAGATTTTGCAATATCGTTATAGGTGCACTAATTTTTAAAGTTAATATATGGGCTAGTAAACCTGGTAATTCTAAAGAATTCAAAAATTCCATTAGGTATTGTATTGCATGCTCAGGATTACATGCAATGTCAATAGATTGATATGTTTTAGATTTTCCTGGAAGCAATCTTAATATATCTTCATTGATATTATGAACTCTGTCATTTTTCGGTGCAAGTATAGCCCTTTCACATAACCATTCATGATTAATAAATATAATTTTCATGTATTTCGGGAAATACTCGAGTTTTTAATACATCAACTGAGTTCACAATATTACAAAAATTTCCTAGAAATGTTATAGTGTCATTTAAATTTGTTTTTCCATACTCCATCCTCGAGAAGTAATAATTGTTTAGAAAAATTCTTTAAAGTAGAATCACATGTTAGAGATACTCTCATATTTTTTGTTAATGTATTGGCTTTTACATGCTTCCATAAATATGAGTTTTTTAAACGTGTCTATTTGATCAGCTGATATTCCTCGTGATTAAGAGATTATATTAGATGAAGCTACTGTTAATGCTATATCTCCATTATTTCGTATTTTTGCTAGTATTAAATTCAACAAAAATGTTTTTCCTGTCCTTCCCGGGGCATCTAAAAAAATACAACTTTTCTCTTCTTCAATAATTTCCATAATTCTTTTGAATGCTTTTTTTCTGATTGTCAACTAATAATAGTTCATTATTGTTAATATATGTATTTAAATTATAAATGTTATATGGCGTTTCACGTATAATTTCTGCATCTGTAAAATCATTTTGTATTTGAAGTGGATTAATCCCTTATGACTTACATTTTTGCCTGTTATTGATAAACACATGTCTTCTATATTCTATAAAGCGCCTCATTGAACATTTCATCAGTAGAATTTAAATATTCACAATCTGTATGATTTTACTTTTGATTTCGATATAATAAATCTTCAGTCATAAATTTTTTTTATATTTATCCCATAGGTATTGTGGTTTTGATGGGTTACATGAAGTTAAATAATTGTAAATAGTGATATTATTTTACTCAAATTGTTTGTTATTTGCTTCAGACCTTGTGCCATTCCAATATTTATCATCTCTAAGTAAACCCTCTAAGTTGTATACATGTTTCTCTACATAATTTGTTAATTATTCTATGAACTGTTTTTAATTTTTCAAATAATGTTGGACAAATAACAGTATGTAATAAAATTAAAAAAAAAAAAAAAACAGGATTATTTGGGTGTTTTGTATACATTCTACCAAGAGTATCACTTTAAAAAAATATCTGGACACTCTTTAAAAGATGATTTTTGTTTTCTAGAATTAAATTTTTTTTAAATTATCCCATGTAAAATATTTTGGACCATCATAATATATTGTTTTAGCGAAATTATCTATTTGACATAATTTTTAAAAAATAAACTGTGAATGTTGTTTCAGGTGGTTTTTTAGCTTTTATTTCTATGTTTTCATTTGAAAAATAAACACTTTTACCATTTTCAAGGTGTACATGTAAATGTTTCAAATTTGGATATTAATCATGAATTTTAAAACCTAAAATTTGCTATATTGCTTTATTACTATTTATATATCTCCCGGATTGATATTCTTCAATTTCATCAATATTTTTATTTTCTATTGTAAAAATTGCTTGATTTATTACTTTATGGATGTACTTCAATATGTATTTTATTTTAACTACTGAAATACATAGTTCAACATTAATATGAGCTTTTATAATTTTCGAAAAGAGATTTGACAATAAGATACAATCCACCTATTATCAATATTTACTTTTCTATATTTACCATTAATTTTTTGTTATAGTAGTCTAAAAACTTCCATTTATTATACTTCTTCTGTATAAAGGATATCCATTTGTATCCGATCTTGCATTGAGTAATGTTTGAGGATAATTACATAAACATTTACCATCTTTCATATAAACTGAATTCAGATTTAACTGTCAACGTGGTCCATCATATTTTACTTTATAATATCAAATAAGATGACCTTTCTCTGTATCTGGTAGCTCAAATGAAATAATATCATCAATTTGATCTGAATGAATTTTATTTTTCAACCATATTAAAATATGAACACGAGGTAAACCTTTTTTTGCCCTTGTATTGAATAAACCCACGATATAACATCACTAAAAATCTTGCATATTGTGATCAAGTCAGTTTTTTTTTTTTAATTTACATTTAAATAAGTCTGGCTATTGTTTATAGTTGGGGCAACAATAAACTTGTAATTTCCTCCTATTGAATATTACATGCAAATGTTATGAATAAACATTTTACATTGTATCTTACATAACAAAGAGCATCTTTTATAAAATAAAATCATAAAACCAAAATTATTAAAATGGTTAATACTCATATAAATATAGTAAATAGAGTCATATTTTACATTTTGACTGTGATATACCTGATGATGAATTTTTAATTCAAAACCAGTCAAATAATACACTTATCACAATATTTATCATATTTGTATGTATAAAGTTTTATTTATTTATTAATTTACTATATCTTATAAATATTCCTACATATGTCTTGGATTACCTATAAAACTTGCTAGTAAGATAAAGTTTTAGCCAATATCATAATACTCCAGGTGATGCATTAATTAATTAATTCATATACTTATTTATTTAAGAGTATTAACTATTTAATAATTTTGTTTTTACTTTATTATTTTATTATTTATTATGGCAGGTCAAACCTATTTTCCAACTCAGTTAATGAACAGGATTGCATATTTAAAATAATATAAATATCTATTTCAATAAAATTTGTAAAACATTGAATGTTGTGTTACAAAATATATCAATATACATATCAAATATACTTTTGAAGCTTCAATCAATGCCAAGAAATGAGCAGAGACAATATGATTGAACTCTGAAATACAATTTTAATTCAGTAAAAAATTAAAAAACAAATAATACAATATGAATCTGTTATAAATTATATGCAATTTCAAAATCAAAATCAAACAAGATATAACTTAATAAACAACAATAAAAACTACAAAAATAAACCTAATAAAATATTAAAACAAAATTATATAGTTAAACGAAAAATACAATTATTAACTAATTAGTGAATAATTTAAAAATTAATAATTCAGAAATAGTTCTAGTAAATAAATCTAATGCTATTGCTATTGTTATTCTTTACACTAATGAAATTCATAAAAAAAACTTTAGATTTTATAAAATATAAATAATAATAATTTTCAAAATGTAACATATGACCCAACTATAATTTACACTAAATAAATTAAAAAGAAATTATATCTAAAGTCCAAAAGAAAATATTATTAAAATCTAATTACAAAATATAGGCTCCACATTTACATACATTCATAAAACAAATTTTTTATCCAAAACCGGCCGTACAATACACATAATATCAGGCGACGTATTTATTTATTTATATTTTTTTTTTTTAGAAGTAATTAGTGGGTTAGGTGATAAATGAAAAAGATTAAAGTTGGTATTAACACTTGATGATTTTCTAGTATAATTTCTTCTAATCTTTATATAGTTTTTGTTTTTACAATAATATTTATAATTTTTATGTAAACACATTTTTTTAAAAAATAATATTTTTAAAATTATTTTCTAAATATCAATATAAAATTAACTTTGATTTAGAAATCTATTTAATAATAAATAATAAGTAAAGTCATAAGCGATTTACTTAAAAAAATCTAAAATTGTTATTTCAACAAATATTTTAAAAAAAAAATATTATAAAATAGGAACTTTAAGTATTTAATATAAATAAAATCAAATAAAGCATCACTTTAATGAAAATATATATATATATGTATGGTATTTTGTATAGTATAATAAATACCGATTAAATCTTACTTTTTTTTTTCTACATACGAATAATATTAATTTTGTAGTTGTATTATATATTTTCAACATTAATTCTCACATCACTAGGAGTGAGATTCTACATGTTTATTTTATTTTGTATATTAATACATCACAAGTATGTATGTACACCTTCGATAATGTATTGTTTAAGAATTATTTATTATTAAAGAATTATTTATTTTGATTATTACAAAAAAAGCTTTCGGGCGGTTTTAAAAAAAAAAAATTATAAGATATTGAGTTGTATTATAATTAAGATACTTAAAAAATTAAATTGATATCGTCCGCTTATTTTATACACCAGTGGTAACCAAACCTTTTTTTACAGGGGGGCCATACAAAAATAATTATAATCTTGGCCCGCCAAGAATTTAAACTTTTACTTTTAATTTAATATCGAATATTATATTTTATTGTAGGTAAGTCTTATTATAACCTATAGATAAACTGATATATTTAATATTAGTGTTTTATGTATTGATATTTGATTGTTATAACTGAAAAAAGAATGTAAAGTGTAAACATCTTATTTTAATGTAAATGTGTATTTTTGAAATTCGAAGTAATTTTATTTTTCAATATGATTTAATACGCGGGCCAATTATAAATGATAATGGACCGGATTTAGCCCCCGGGTCGTAGTTGGTCACCACTGTTATAGACCATGAAATCATTTTATAAATTTAATATTCATTTAATTATTTTTATTTTGAGAAATGTATGATTTTGATTGATACTTCAATCAATAAAAATAAAATTACTTGAAATTTTACATCATTCTTACAGAACCACTGATTATGAATTTTGATCACGTGTTCAAGCTAATACCTTTGATATTGTAATCTGATTTTTCTCTTTAGACGTAGTATAAAAATTAATATTATCTGCTTTTTAATGATATTTTTAAGTTTGACTGGTTTTGTTCGCTTAAAATATCAATTTCTTCTCACTTTTGAATAATAAAACCTTGAATGGCAAAATTTTGAACCGGCTAATTTTTATCCCTTAGAAAATGATCTAATAAGTATTGCCGTTTCAAGATTTTTACGTAGACTCTATTGTTAATTATATATTAATTACATGGGTACTTACAAAATTGTTAGCATATATTATTAGAGTATTAGAAATAAATTGTTTTTAAAATTTGTTGAAAAATTAATTTTTAGGTGCTATGTAGGCAACTTATTAAACCATTAGCAGTACAATTATTTCAAGAGTTGATTATGACTGGTAATATTAAGTACAAATTTGGGGACCACTGGACTTGTTATCAAAAATTATACCGGTAGGTATGTAATACTTTTATGATAAATAATAATATGATATTGAATATTCTATCTAATATCACGGCCTCAGATGTTTTTCTATTCTACTCTACTGTAGGTGTTATGAAGATGATTTACAGATTTAAACTTTTGCTCGTGAATTACAGTTTTTATTGTCTTTAAGAATTTAAAATGCTGTTCAAACCATTGAATTCAATTTATCGTTATCGTAGGCTTATAGTAAAACACACAAATATTTTATTTGTGGATAATAATGTAAAAAGTTATAGTACAACAAATAATAAAAATAAATTTGATGGACCTAGTTTAAAAGATTTTATTTCAAACGAATTTCCTGCACAACAAACTGAATTATTAAACAATAATGAAAAAATTCCATACCTGGATATCGTTAATCTGGGACAAAATAGAAAAGGTACAAAATTTAAATAGCTTCAAATGTCCAACATCCAAAATATAAATTTGAAACTGTCTTTCTTTATTTCTATTTGAAGTTCATATTGAAGTTTATGGTTGCCAAATGAATGTCAATGATGCTGAAATTGTTTGGTCTATATTACAAAATGAAGGTTATATTAAAACTGACAATATTTATGATGCTGACATAGCTCTACTTATAACATGTGCAATCCGCGATAAGGCTGAAAACAGAATATGGACACGTATTAAACAAATACGGTCTTTTAAACGTTTAAGGGGTAAATTTTATCCATTAAAAGTTGGAATTTTAGGTAAGATATTTTTTTAAATACCCTAGTTAATTTTTAATATTTATGTACTTACAATTACAGGTTGTATGGCAGAAAGACTAAAGGAAAAATTAGTAAACGATACACATGGAGGTGTAGATCTTGTTGCTGGCCCTGATAGTTACAGAGATTTACCTAGACTATTAACCAAAACTGAAGCCGGTCAAAAAGCTGTAAATGTGTTATTATCATTTGATGAAACATATGCTGAAATAAAACCTGTGAAATTAAATGAAGACAATGTTACTGCATATGTGTAAGTCAACAATATTTTTTAAACCTATAGTAATTATGTACACTGTTATATCATTTAGGTTATAAATAATTGTTGTATTTAATTGATACCTATTAAAGATGTAAAAAAAAAGTGTTAAATCCACTTATATACTCACTTTTAATCAATTGGTTTTTTTTTTCAGATCAATAATGCGTGGCTGCGATAATATGTGTACATATTGTATTGTTCCATTTACTAGGGGCCGTGAACGATCTCGATCTGTAGATTCAATTCTAGATGAAATAAAATATTTATCTGATAAAGGTTTCAAAGAAGTAACTTTGTTGGGTAATTAATAGCATACATGTATAATTGTATTTAAAGAAATTTATTTAATTAGTTGATTTTCTATATTAGGACAAAATGTAAATAGCTATCGTGATTTAACTAGTTCTTCGCATTTTATGCCTTCAAATAAAACTTTAGCATCAGGATTCAAAACTGTTTACAAGCAGAAGAAAGGTGGTGTCAGATTTGCTGAACTCCTAAATCGAGTCTCGGAAGTTGATCCAGAAATGAGAATTAGATTTACTTCGCCCCATCCTAAAGATTTTCCTGATGAGGTAAATATCTAATTTAGCTCTAAAAGTCAATTAATTTAAATTAATCCATAAATATATTTTATTTCTTTCCAGGTTTTAGATGTTATTTCAGAGAAACCTAATGTATGTAAAAATTTACACTTACCAGCTCAATGCGGAAACTCAGAAGTTTTAGAGAGAATGCGAAGAGGTTACACTCGTGAATCATATTTGAATTTGGCTCAACATATTAGAGATAGAATACCCAGTGTAACGTATTCCAGTGATTTTATAGCAGGTTTTTGTGGTGAAACCGATGAACAATTTGATGATACTATTAGTTTAATGGAAACTGTGAAATATCATAATGCATTTTTATTTGCATATAGTATGCGAGAAGTATGATATGAATATCAGTTATAGAGTGACTAAATTTGTTTAATTATTTAATTCATTTTCCTAGAAAACAACAGCATATCGACGTTATAAAGATGATGTTCCACAAGATGTTAAATTAGAAAGAGTAAAAAAAATGTTTAATGAATTTCGAAAAACCGCGGATATCTTAAATAGGAAATTTGTTGGCACTGAACAGCTCATTTTAGTTGAAGGTGTAAGTTAAATGTTTTTATTATATTAAAATATAATTTATTGGACAAATTAAATTTTTAAAAAACAACCTAAAAGCTTGTTATAATTTTATTTTTGTTATATATAACACCTATTTCATTTACAAAACAAGTTTATAACTGTGTTAAAATTATTATATGAACTATGAACATTTTTTAAATCACAAAATAAATAACTGATTGCATAAAAACAATATTATGTTAAATATTTCAGGAAAGTCGGAGAGGGCCGTCTAATCTTTGTGGACGAAATGATGGAAATATAAAAGTAATTATTCCAAATATAAAACTATCCGTTGATGGATCATCATTAAATCAAGATATTAAACCTGGTGATTATATAACTGTAAAGGTTAGTATTATAAACTTAAGTTTATTATCTATTATATATTTTAATTTATAAAACTAATTTAATGTATGTATAATATTACATAATAAATAATTACAGTGACATAAGTTTTCAGACTTTTAGCTTTTACTAATACCAATTCAGTCTTAGAATAGATATTATCAAAATCATTTTAACTGTGTAAAAAAATAAGTACAATGTACTGTACCTATATTATAAAAAAAAATGTAGATATGTTAAATAAAACTGTTCATGTTTCATGAAAATTGTTTAAACTTTTAACATTATAAATTTGTAACAAATAATATCTTGGCATTGGACTGGATGTAATTATTCAACTAAATAGTATTCTATAGTTACTTAATTTAAAATATTGAATAATTTAAATAAATTATAACAGAAAAACCTTTGAAATAACATATTTTATGCAATATGCAATACAATTTAAGATAGAACTGGGTTTTTTTTTTTTAGATAACAGAATCAAACTCTCAAATTTTAAAAGGCATGCCTATTCAACATACAAGTCTCCAAGAATATGAAAATAAAACAGCAAAGTTGGTTAAAGAAAAATCATATTAGACTCAATTTTAAATTTTTATGTTTATTGAAAAATATTTTCAGCTATAACCACTACATTAATAGATTATATTTAAACATCTATAGTATATAATAAAGTAGTCATAAATACTAGACAAATTAAATTGATTGTATATAAATTATAAATATAAATTTATTTAAAATAAATTTCCATTTTTAAATTTTAAAATGCAAAGTTAAGACTAATGAGAAAATAATATAAATCTTTAATTTTTTTTACCAAAAAAAAAAAAAACCAATATGTATATCTTTTCTTAGGTAGCCTAATCCTATATACATCACTGTGTTATCAAAACTTTTTATTCAATTATTGATTTAGTTGTTATACTTATATTATTGATAATATGCTATAGCTTTCATAAGTGGGAAAATCTTCTAATTACTTTAGTAATGTATAATTATGTATTATGAATAGAATCGCAAATAATCGACAAGTAAATATTGGTAGAAATATTAAATTAATGTATTATAAAATATACACTGATTAAATGCTTTCCAGCATTCCGTATAGTTACTTCAAAATTATATAAATTAATGATTCTATTAATCAATATTTTTAATTTATCTAACAAAAACATGTATTGTACTTTTCCTCCCATTTTTTCTTTGTTTTATATGTATAGCAGGTAGGTACATAACAAGCAACATTTTATTGGCAATTTGTTTACATTTGTTTACTAATGGTGTTTCCAATATTTATCCCATCAAATGATAACAAGTTAATAAATACTTGTCATCATCGGGCGGCATGACATGAAAGAAATTTTGTTGAGTGTTGCTTGTATCTGCACATTCTAAATGGAAAATATTGCTCAATACGGATAATTTGTCAATAATTATTAATTAATATCAACCTGTATGCATATTATATACACAATTTAAGTGTATCTGTTACTTAGTTTTAAAATTTTCGCATCATGCTGTTGTCAAAAGAGCTTATAATTGAACTAATAGAAATGCTCCTGTCTTGTGGGGCTTACAAATAATATAATGTTAAGATAGGAACCTGAAGTTTGATTTAAGGAGCTACCAATCAAAGAAATTCTTCAAAATTAAATTTGATTAGTCTCACAAAATGTCAGAATGAATTGCCATTGTTCAAAAGTAATTTGGATATTAAGCTGTCACCATAGCTTATCCCATTATTTAAAAACAATTTCTGTCATCATCTTATTTTTTTTGATAGATATTTATGATAATGAACGCAGCTCTAGCTCCAGCAGCAGTAGTTGCCAGATCCATTTAACTATTTATCTAAACTTTTGAAATAACTTTTATGGACTGTAGACGCAACTATTATTTTGGTTTGGATAATTTACACTGTTGACAACATGTATCTAGATACAAGTATATGCATCAGACAAATTTGTTACTAACGTTCAGCAACATATTGTCAACTGTTGCCAACATTTTGTTGTTCTGTATGTACATACCTTAAAACACTACCCTTTAATGCAACATTTGGTTTATTCAATTATATTACATTAGTATTACAATTTATTTCCCATGGCATTGATATATTCATCAAATGTAGGCATTTAAATAATACAATTTTAATTTTAAAATGTATGTATTCAGAGCCAATGATTTTAACAAATAAAAGTATATAAATGAAGAATGTTTGATACACATTTTGTTAGTTCAGTATTAAATACTGCAACAGCAAGAGTGATTGATCTTTGAATTTGGTGAATTAAAAGGTTCTTATGTAATTATGTATAGTTTAGTTGAAAATATTGTTGATCTTAACAGGTTCAAAGATGACAGCAAATTTTGCGTGACAGTATAGTGGTCTTATATAAAACATTGGTTACTGAGAAGCTATTTCAATGACCTAACTTATATATATAGAGATGACCAGATGATTGATGCTTGTTTTTGATGACAACTTCTCATAATTGGTACGTATATTATTCAATTTTTTTTTTACATATATAATAATTTGAATATTTTTGAAATGATAACATTTCATGAAAATTGCCTATATACAACCCCTTAAATAAGGAAAGTAGCACGTTCCAACATGTATTTTTATTATGAACGTGTAATGCAATTTAGATATTGCAGTTTACCATAATTTGTTATTTTAATTTTTCAACAAATTTTTATTGTTAAACATGAAAATCATCGTAAAAAACAAAATTATTATTTAAAATAATGACAATAATAAAAATAAGCATATACAGAATTAATGGAAATCTTTAAAATCACGGTATTTAAATACATGTTCAACCAAACTTTACTCAAAATAATTTTTCATTAAAAATAATTTATCGTTGCGTACGTATGCAAATTAAATTACTCTACCTATTATTTTAACTAAAATTCTGGCGAAAAAAGTCTGCGAAAAGTCCGGTTAGGAATTATTATATAATCGATTATAAATAATCTGTATATTATATACAAAAATTCTACCAGAAATCTTGACTATGTCCTTCCAAGTGTGTAAAGCAATTTACAGAAGAGTTAACTACATTTATGGAGTGTCCGGACCCAAAATTCCCTTCTCGATTACGCATTCGCCCCTGGCATATAATATAGGTAATATGATTAGATTCCTAATACTCAAAGATAAGTAAAGATTAGGTGACCCAACTTAATGAAATCACCCTCAAACAAAATCAATTATTAAATTAGAGATTTTTTTCCGGATTTTTATACGACAATTCACCCTACCTATGTACCCATATCTTTTCAACTTCCCACATACAACAGTGACACACTATTCACATATCAGTAGTATCTACACTTTTTTTTATAATATTTTATATTGACTGCAGAACTAATTCTTTTGAAATAATTTCGATGGAAGTGCTACTTTCCTGATTTTTTTTAGAGTTTTTAATTACATTGTGTAGAAGTTACTAATATAGACTTTATATGATTATCTATATGTCACTAAATATTTATTTGTATACAAAATGACACATACAATTTTTTATTGTATTTTTAAATATAACTTTTCAATGATACAGTGCACGAAAAATATAATTGTTACTTAATAGTTAATGCACCTTCCTGTAGAATTTCATCAAAATAAGTGGGAAATTGTGACGGCGTTGTGACATACGTAATGGAGGAGTAAGTGACTGATGGACAGACATGACGAAATTAAGAGGTTTCCGGTTTTTGCTATTTTGGCTACGTAACCCTAAAAAAGTAAAAACAAACTACGACTTAATGAAAAACACTATACTAGTATAAATACTACTTATTATATTGGTAAGTACACATAAATATATACTAAGCTGTTTGTGAATTACGCTTTTTTACGTATGCAATTCGTGACCGTCTCCAAACAAAGTCTAAAGAATTACGGTGAAAACATATAATAAAATCCGGGAAAATTCCGGATGAGCAACGACTCGTATATTGATACTTGATATTGTATATCAAAGGCATTTTCACCCACATAAATGCTTTTGTTTATTTGATTTTATGGTTAATGACCAACCGTGATTGTTCAGTTATCTGGGTTTAAGTCAAATTCTTGAACGGCAAAATGTTGCACAGAAAAATCTTGTACAGTAAATTATTGAAACGACAATACCTATTAGATTATTTTCTAAGGGATATAAATTAGCCTATTTAAGAATTCGCCGTTCAAATATTTGCTGTTTAAGATTTTGACGGCCTCCCAGTTATTTTATGAACTCCGTTATGACGTTTATGTCGGTGAGAACGACTCTAAATCACAGTTATAGATAGGCAACCGTGGTTTGAAAAGAAAAGTCCAACACGACCCGTTTCCACCAAAATGAACTTGTCTTTTTCACCAAAAAAGATATTAGTCGATTAGGTACCACTGTAATATAGAAAAACTGCAACCCTATATTCTATGACCGAACGGTTATAGTATATAGAACGTCGGTTTCGTTCACTGATGCAAGTGAAACCAGATTAGGGTGGAGGAGAGATGAGGGTGTTATATCCCCTCGACCTTGTGTTTCTTCTAATAACTTATTTATGTTTGCCCTACTTTATGTTCTTGTATTAATGATGTTCATCATGTATATATCTTTATTCCTTATTGTATTTAAGCCGAAAATATTACAGCCGAGTGTCGACCGTGAAAATAGCCGATCAAATAATATATGATGTGCAATGGCTGGTGACTATTATAATGATTCTTGATTTAAACGGTCTTTCGAATGTTCAAAACATGAACGTCCAATAAATACTTTCAAACTTAGATTTGATTATTATTATATAAATGTTGAATCAAATGAAGGTTAGGTTTTTAAAGTTCTTGGCGAGAAAATTGATCAAATCTCTTTTTGTGGAAAAGAGTAAATTAATTTTTGTGGAAACTGGTTGTGCTCGTGTTACTTCTACAACTCCTGGTACAAAATTTCAATTTTCAGCAAGAGAACCATAGCAAAAAAAAACCAACTTTTCGTAAAATCGATATAATGGTACCGGGAGTTCAGAAAGGTCAGTGTAGTGGTCGCGGATAAGTTAAATTATTGACGTGCTAGTCCGATAAATTTGCTACAAAAATAGAAAATTGGTATAACGATGTAGCTAAGGTATTTATTGGGTATCTGCATCTTGGTATTTAATAATAATACCGCTATTATAATGCCATTATAATATTATTACTGATTATTGATCGATAGGAAATACTAAACATCACGGATCGGAAATTGTATAACGTTTTTGGTAAGATTTTACTACATAAAATTATTATTATTATAATATTACAAGTTCTGAATGTAGTTATTCGTTTTATTAAGATGTGTTTTGTATTCTCGGGTTACAAAAGTGCTCTGATTTTTTGATATCGTGTAACTTTATTAGTTTAACGAACTCTGCTCAGAATTGACGTATAGGATATAAGTAGGTACCTTCCAAACTTCTCACCTACAACAATGGCCTACCCATGAGACGATGTATGTCCGGTTTTTTTTTTAATTAATATTATCTGGTCATTAATGTATTCAATAGTTCTAACATAATTTTACATGATGCGATATTTGAGTAAAAATAACATTTGTGTAACAAAAACAAATATTATTATAATATATAGATTGAGGTACTTATTATTTAATCGTATAATATTTACTATTAGTAATTTTCATTAATTATTCTAGGTAGTTAATAATAATCTGTTACACCTGCAGTGACATCGGACATGGCATTCATAACGTAAGTATTTGAACATTTTTTAAATTAATAAGTACCTATTTGAATAGTTATCTACAAATCCTATAATTAAGTTATATATAGTATAGGATATAGTATATCGTAATTTTTTTTGAGTAGATATTTTTAATCTTTGTAATCATATATCTATGGAAAAATATATGTTCCTTTTAATATATTGTATTGATTGGATACCTGTTTATTGTGCAATCTATGTGTTTAGAAGGTAGGTATTATAATCATCACTATCGAATCATGTCGAAATTATTTAACATAGTCCATGGATCGAATAATTTGATGTAAATTTATGATACTTACCTTTATCTGTGTCTGTGTGATAAACAATAAATAAATAACTATATCCATAGGTAGTGGCGTAGCCAGGTGGAAATTGTGTTTTAACTCCCCCCCTTCATTGCCTTTTTTTTAGCTATAGTTAAGGTTAAGAAGATGGTTATATTATATTGTAAAATAATAAACACAGAAAATGCTGACGTTCGTAAATATTGTTTATCGGAACTGAACTCAGAAATGTATATAGCCAGGTAATATACACTTGGTTATATTATATCTGTGTATTATTATAATACAAATAATATTAAACACTTCTAATATACTAAAAAAAAAGTAAATGAATGAACTTGAATAACCAAATAAAATATTTCAAGTTACCTTTGAATTGAAATTGAATTATCGTCAATTCTAATTATTAATGATGACCACCCGGACACGTCCTACTGCAGGTATTTTGTTATTTTACCTCCATGGCCTTATATTGTTATACGTAATGGTGATGCTTATTGCCTAATGGGATACATAATGGTCGATGTGGAATAGGAAATAATTGTTATAGTAAATAACACCTACCTAATAATAATAATATATTAAAAAATGTCAATAACAATAACCACTGATCGACCATCATTTGTGTAATAAATGTAAACAAAACAAAAATATAGCCCATATGTATTACAGATCTCTTCCTAAAATAATAATTTACTGTAATGTATATATCTATACATTTATGTGAATATTATTTTTCCAAAACCAAATCATGTGAAGAATGTGAAGTAAGCAGGTGTTGCTTATATATTATAGCATTGGCGGATAACGAATTGTTTTGAATCGCTGTTGCTGTTGTTTTACAGGTAAGTAAATATGTGTGTTTGCTCCATGGTAATAATAATAATTATTTTTTTATTATTAAAGGAGCCATAATAATGTATTAAGCATGTCTATATTACTATATTATTTTGCAATAAATTATTATTAATCACAAATATAATTACGAAGCTACTCAGCATTTTATATTTTTATACTGGAGACTGGTTCAAATTATAATTAATTATAATTCTCCTTGTATGTGTGTATAATATATAATACTATGTGAATATTGTTTTTTCCAAAATCATAAACCATTTGAAATAAATAGGTGTTGTTTATAAGTTATAACATTGGTGGATAATGAATTGTTTTAAACTGTTGCGATGGTTTTGTAGGTAAGTCGTAAATATGTGTGTACCGCCATGGTAATAATAATAATTATTATTATTTTATTGTTAATGTTTATTTCAAAAAATAATGCTCGTCTGGTACTATAAAATAATATGTGTCTATCAATGTATTAAGCATGTCTATTATTAAGTATATTATCTTGCAGTAAATTATTATTTAGCAAGAATATTATTTTAAAGGTACCCCAGAATATTTTATTTTTGTACTGGAGACTGAGTCAAATAATAATTATATTATGTGAATATTGTTTTTTCTAAAACCATAAACCATTTGAAATAAATAGGTGTTGTTTATAAGTTATACCATTGGTGGATAATGAATTGTTTTAAACTGTTGCGATGGTTTTGTAAGGTAAGTCGTAAATATGTGTGTACCGCCATGGTAATAATAATAATTGTTTTTATTTTATTATTAGTGTTTATTTCAAAGAATAATGCTCGTTTGGTGTCATAAAATAATATGTGTCTATTAATGTATTAAGCATGTCTATTATTAAGTATATTATCTTGCAGTAAATTTTTATTTAGCACGAATATTATTTCGAAGGTACCCCAGAATATTTTATTTTTGTGCTGGAGACTGGTTCAAATAATAATAATTCTAATCTGAAAATGCACAATGTTTTTGTACGTAATATAGTTTATTTTCAAATTGCAGGTGTTAAAATAAATATTCATGCGAATAAAATGTTCGCGTTTAAAAAATTAATATAGGTATACATAATATTATATGCTGTATGTGCACTGCAGGAAAACTTCACTCCGAGCATAAATATAGGGTACCTATTCATAATTTATTTATTTATACATATGTACCTACCCGTCTATATATTGTATCGATATATATGTTTCAATGTTAACACGTAACGTGCAAAGTATACAATTTTTGTCAATCGTCTACAATGCCCGGTCCTTAAATAAAATGTCCATCGTATATTATTATTGGGTACAATAAAGATTTTGTATATGTACCTTCTGGATAATATTAAATTATAACGGATTTATAGAAGAATTAATTAGTTTAACTCGTAGATATTGAACGTATAAATACGCCGATACGGTATTAAACAATAAGTAATTTGTATAGCAACGTAATTTCACTACATATTTTTCTAAGACAATTATCGCTTTTTTTTTTTTTTTTTTGCGTGTTGATTAAAAACCGTAAGTATGTACGTGATGTACTACCTATTGAAAAGCTATAGGTATTATGTTTAATATCTGTTAGTACAGTATTTTTTTTTTCCCCGTTATCAAGAAAAATGCAAAGAAAATCAAAAAGTGACCGTCCCACCACTGTATAGGTATCAACTAGAAAATATTTTCTACCAGAAAACACCCCCGATAGATAGCAAGATTTCTAGTCAAAAAGTTGTTCATATAAACATAATAAATAGATACGCATCACCAAAACAAAGTTTAAATAGTGTATTCACATGCAAATAATGTAGTTACTAATAATTTAATGTCGTTAGTGATGAATTAATCCTTGCCCAGTACCGTGGTGATAATAAATTTACTGACAATTGAATAATCAGTGGGCCGCTGGGTTTTGCGTGACCATTGCGCGACAGACGATCGCCGAGCGCACTACCTATCTTCTAAACCCCTGGTATTATTTTTTTTTATTTTCAGATTTTACTCTAGGTTTTTAACTTGAATACTTGTTCCAATCAAAAACTTCATGGTATATTATTTGTAGCATTTTGAATTTAATTGACGTTTTATAAAGGTCACTTTTTGAAATACTTAGGCGCTTATCGAAATAATGGGAAAACGAAGACAATTTTGTAACAAAACGGAATCAAACGGTTATCTCTATTTATTGTGATCGGGCGGCTAATGTGGCGTGTGTGAGCAGTGATATAATTAATTTAAGGGCAAATCAAATTGTCTACGTACTCGCCTTCTAAAAAAAATCCTTAGAGAGCTAATTATATTGTACTACATTTTTAATATTGTTTTATCATAATATGTAAAATAGAATAAAATAAAACCGATTGCTGTTCAGTTACATAAACAAAATCTATATTGCACAATAATAATTAATATACGATAGGTATTTTACATAGGTAAAGTCCGAGCAATGTAGAAAAAGACCAAATTGCAAACTAAACTTTGACCGTAACACTTTATGTGTTAACACATGTTTTAAATTCAATAAAATCATAAATACATTTTCATATAGAAAATAATAATCACCAAATTACGTCTTACAAAATAAAAAAAAATCTTTATAACTTATTAAATAATAAGATATTCAAAACTAAGTACATCCGCTCATGGATAGGCTGTTGTTGTTATAGGTGCCAGCTTTACAGTTGGAAAAATAGGTAGGATATATGTAAGGGTAATTCACTAGGTAGATTATTTACTTTGATTATTTGAATATATAAGTTGTAAGTTGGTTGTAACGGAGCCAATAGTATTATTACTTTCATTGAAACGGCTAATATATTTTTAAAATGTTTGAAGTTTGACATAGGTACATCAAATATTTGACTGTGTGATCCAATTTAAATGAGTTTAAATCTTATTTAATTAAGTAGGAGGACGTCTCCTGGAAGACTTTATAATCATATATTAACTAGAAAAACAACACAGGAAAGTAGGTATAATGCAGGAATTTTGTACATAGAAAAATAAAATTCAAAAATAGTTTTACACAGGATTGGCCAAATGTTGCACAGAAGACAAAAATGGAATTTCAACTGATAAATCTGGAAAAGTACCTACCTACTATTAATATCACGGACGAAAATAAAACAACGCCAAATCGACAGTAATCGCTTACTCCATGGAGAAATGGTCATTAATAAGGTAATATTTTTCGTTTCTGTGAAATACTTTCCTGTATTATGTTTTCGTACGTAAGGCCGGTGATTCACCGAACAAATTTATTTCGTAAATATTTTTTTCGTTTACCTATCTTACTAGTTCAAACACAATTAAGTCTGTCTAAAAATATCGTCCGATAGTTATATTATTATGTTGTTAAATAGAAAGGAGAAAATAAATAAACAAAATACTATTGTGTGCATTCTACAAATCAATTTAATTTAAAATACTAATACGGTGTTATTTATGACTAAATAAATCTACTTTGTCGTGGTGTTAGTATTATTTCAAAAGAATTAAATCAACATCCGGACCAATTTAAATCGTTTATAGAATGAATCTCACAAGTAGTCAACAGATAGTGAACTTGATTAGTCATTCAATTAAAAAATAAAAAACGCACGGAAGAGAACCAATTGGAGTAGAAGAACGAATATTAATAGGCATTTAGTAACCTTTCTCTCGCTATAGACTGCGGTGGAGTTAATCGTAAAATGATGAAACTATTATCACGTGAAATAAAATACATTTTATTTCAAGAAATTTATTTACAAAATAAATTTGATACAGCGCTTCAAATATACAAGACGGGTGTGTATAGACTTGTACATTTAAACAGAACATTCATCCTGAAGACTGGGAGGCGTGGTCTATCCGAAGGAATACAATGAAAATGGCTGATATACAGACTTATAGTGTGAGCCGCGAGAAAAAGCAACTTTGCACTTCAAGGATAGCCAATTAAAACACTGTTTATTATATCACGTGTTTGTGTCCTCGGAATGAAACTCCGCCCAATTGATACTGGAAAATATTACCAAAGTGTACATTGCCTCGGTACTACGTATAGATAAGCCAATACCATTGGCTAATTTAAAATTGGCGATTTGTCGTATTTAAATAATGATAGCAAAATAGATTTGACAAATTCATATCACAGAATAAGTAGAGGTATTGATCAATATTATCAAAATGCTGATTAAAATCAAATCGCTCTAAAGTATTGAATATTCAATCCTTAAAATATACTTTTTTTATGCAAAATAAATGTTTTCTTATGAATTCTATGTTTCATGTTTCATGAATCTTGAAGATATTTTACAATCATTTAACTACATACACTAGAAACAAATAAATAAAATCATAAAAATTCGATCTCTAGTTATCATTTATTATTTATGATATAAACACAAAATTCTGTGATATGAATTTGGCGAATCTATTTTATGATTATTAAAAAAGCGACAAAACGCCCAATTTAAATTAGCCAATGGTATTCGCTTATTTTACGTGTAGTGCCGAGCCAATGTAGTAATGTACATTTTGGTAATAGGCCCACTGGAACGCTTTTTCATGCTGAATGTTCCGTCTAGATGCATGAAATTGTGTTGGTGTTATTTAAAATACACGCGTTTTTTTATTAACAAAACAAATTTTCTGTTTCATGAAACATATTTTTATCATCTCGCCTCGTTCATTCACCAATATTCTTCTAGTTATACTTCTACTTGATTTATCATTGTGTTCGTCATAAATGCATGCCTTATATTCATTTAAAAAATTTAAATATCGAAAAAAAAATTAACGCTGGGTTACATATCTTCTTACCATTAAGTTTGGTCATGGGTCAATTCATTTTAATAATAAAACTAACGGCATACAATTTGTTCCACTGAACGCAAATTTGCTTTATCACGTAAGTAGTAAGACGGAGATAGTAAATGCTAGTGTAAAAATTATTCTTAGTTAAGTACCTACTGTTATAGGTATGTCGTATGTGCTACTAACTACTACAGGATTAAATAATACAGTTACTTTGTGAATAACAGTCGGCAATTGGAAAATCTGATCATTTATTAATTTTCTGGGTCAATACCTGAACATATATGTATTACATAAGATGTTTTTCAATATACAAAACTCTTCTCAGATTTGGCCATGGGTTGTCGAAAAGGGGTGTGATAAATAAACCCAATATGATGAATATAAGTGATGAAAAGTGGTATAATGAATAAACCCAAAATTGGATCACGTATGAATTGAAATAAATTATCTGGGTGAGTACAAATTTTATACAGTGTTTTCCAATATTTTTCTCATTACCCATAAACTAAAGTTTAACCGCATTTTTCAAAAAAATATTCCTAACGAGTATTTTCTTGTTTAATCCGCGCCCGATTCAATATGCTTTTTTATTTCATGGAAGAAAAAATATGAGTACATTAATTTGTGTATATTTTCATGTTTAAAAATTAAAAGTGAACCACAATAATTAAAAATTATATTTACTGTAGTGAAATAAATAACTAGACATTTTATTAAATTTCAAATATGTGAATATTTTATTATAACATAATACAAGATTCGGAATTCGATATTTAGTCAAAAATGATAACAATGATCTGGTTGTGGAAAAATATTTATCACATAAATAATATTCTTATCTCTCGTTTATGCCAAGTGATCATGATTTGTTGGTTATGATTTGTATGGATTTAATTTAGAGCGATTTTATTTTTATTTTTGTACAAAATCGTAAATCCTCAAAATATAAATATAAACATGATGTGAAGAGATACCACAATACTATACTCCTTATACGGTTCTTGATTACGGTATTTGAAAATTATAGTCATAGTTTCATTTATGTATTTGAATAAACTTAATTGGTAGTATGAAGAGAAGGAATGGCGATTGCGGAAAATCACGAAAGGCCTTGAAAAGAAACAAATCCGCCACCGAAGGAGTCTATTGGAGGTATTAAATTACTACTAGGTATTATGGCTATTTTGAAACTAATAGTTAATTATTGTTCCAAGTTCCGTTCATTATTTGAAGCTCTTCGGTATTTGGCTTGTTCTGATAATACTTGATTATTTATTACATTTTCGATTTGAATACGTTTGGCCATTTTGGCTTCTATTCCATAAAATTGTTGAAGGAATTAAACATCAAGGATTTGTAAGTACATAATTTATAATTCATAATTAGTTTTAATATATCCTATAGTTAGTTAATGTGTGTATAATATTTAATTTATTTTATTTTAAACATATTAAACAAACTTAAGCTTTTAAAACCTTAAATTCAATATTTATGTTTTAATACATTTTTATTCAAAAAATTATTGATAACAATATGACTATTTAATAACAACATTTTGAATTACATGTAAACTGTAAAACTATACTATTTGTTTTGACTTTTTTTTTTTGGATATTGTGTTTGTAGAGATATTCATACACAGTTTTGAAGTCTTGTAGTTTATACAAATTTTAAAAGTGTAGGTCATCGGTACTACTTGAAAACTAAATTTTTAAATAATTTTATACTTAATGTACAATTAGTTTGTTTTAATTATATTTGTATTACTATTATTTTAAAAAATGTAAAATCTATCAACTTCAAATATGCTTTAAGATTTAGATAATGCGTTTAATATATAAAGCAGTCCTTTAACAAAAATTGATTACTAAATTATACATAGATTAAAAGATTATACTTGAATGTATGGTTAAAAATTTGTTTCAACAAAATAAAATTACTCTGTCAAACAAAGTCGCTGAACTGAATAAATAATTAAATGCTGTTTTGTAATAATTTAATTTTAATAACAGCTTTAAGAATGTAAAGAAGCATAATATCCAAACTACTACAAAATCACTTGTTTAAACAGTCATATATTAGATAAATATTTTTAAACATAAATAATGACGTAAATATTATTGTAAAGAGGACGTTATACACACATCTACTGTCTCAGTTCAACTACTGGGTAACATGCAAAAAAAATGGTTTTGCAGAATTAGTAAATCTAGCTTAATTTTAATTTTAGAGTAAATGTATTATAAAATTAATAAAGAACAAAACTTTGGGGGAAATGTCATAGGATTTTTATGTTATTCAAATTATACAGTTCGATATAAAAGATACAAAACCTTTTTTTTTTTTGTTTTTTTAAATAGTTCATAATTCAAAAAACATTTATGATGTTCCCTCCAAAATATTGTACTCTATAAATTTCATAATAGTTACTTTTACTCCAGAAAGTTTTACTTAATCTATGTAAGCATTGTTTTTGCATGTTACCATTAGTTGGACTAAGACAGTAGATATGGATATAACATACTCTTAATATTTAAAATTAATTAAATTCATCTTCAAATGTACATTACAACAATATAATTGTATGAAATTGATATTAAGATGTGTCTGAATCTAGGTCAAAATATGCAAATTTAAAATTTTAGAAAATAGTGTTCCTAGTCTATTAATTTACATCATTGAATTATTTTACATTTTATTTTATATTGTTTGACTACAACCACTTGTGTTTATGAAGTATATTTTATGATATTATTGTTATTAAAGTAATGTATTTTACTATTAGTTGTTTATTTATAAAAACGTTTTTCTGAATTTTTGATATTTTAACCGATTACTGATATATTTTAATATATTGATACCCACCCATATAGAATAAGTAAATTTTTATTAATTTTTTTTTTTTTAAATATATATCCTTAAAAATTATAATCTTAATATATAAATGTAAAATAAAATAATATGTTTTGGTAATGTATAATTTGTATAATCTGCATCATATTTTTCAATGTTTTATGTTTAATAAAATGTATTTTTATATAAATATGTTTAATACTTATTTTTTATGTTCTAGGTTTATACAGTGTTTTTTGTTTGCATTGCATTAACATCCGACATGGTGTGTTTTTTCTTCATACCTGTACATTGGCTGTTGTTTGTCGCTAGTACATATTTCTGGGTACAATATATTTACCAAGCAGGTTAGTTTAATTTTAATTGCAATTTGTCTTATACATTTTTTTTTTTTATCTAACAATTTGTTTTTATAGAAAAATGTGTGTCTTGGCCAGTGGTAACCCTTTTAGTCTTATACATTTATGTAGAGGCTCACATTCGACTGAATAACCCTGACCATATTCCTTATAAATTGGTTTTGTGTAAACCATTAGCAGCTAACTGGTAATCTACTATTATATTATGTTAATTATTACAAATAATGTAATATTTATGTATAATAATAAGTTATACTAATTGTTTTTTTAGTATTGGGTATCCTGTTGTTACACTTTGTTTTGGTTTCAAAAGTTATTTAAGTCTTAAATTTAGGCTGGTGAGTGCTTTCATTTACAAATTTAATTTATTATCTGTGAGTATTTTTGTTTAACTATCACATATTTGTTTAGAAACAACAGCAAAAAATTTCTAAAGAAAATGAGTTCTATCAGAATTTAATGTTAGATTCTTTACCATTAGATCAAATCACAGGCTCCATTGTTTCTAGTCAAGAAAATGATGATGGAGGTAAGTTTATAATAGAAATATTTCTATTTATCCTTTAATTTTCATAATAACTTGCAGAAATATGGTTAGAATCAATTTGTGAAGTACCTGTTGATGTCACTGATGTACATAGTAATGTGATATCTAATGGTAGTGTTCCACATAAAAAACCTGAAAAACAGGATACACTATGTACTGAAATACCTATTAAAAAATTAGTAACTAATGATAAATTAATGTAAGTACGATAAAACAATGTTTATATGAGTATAACAGAAATTGTATTAAATTTATTGCCTTAGATGTAATAGTAATCATGAAAATCATGTTAGTAAAGAAACAGAAAAAAATAAAAGGGTGACTCGGGTGTCATCAGTTAAAAATAATAATCATTTAAAATGTAATAATCAAAATTCAAACAGTAAAGAATTTATAAAAACTAAAGGCACCTCACCACTGAGATTAGTGAAGCCTATAATTGTTGATCCTAAAGATTTATATTGTGAAACGTAAGATTTTATTATATAATAATACTATTAATATGTATTGAATATTTGTTATGATTTTAGATTGGAAAATGATTTGAAAAGGCTAAAATGTGAACTTCATTTATCTATTCAATCAGAAAAAGAATTAAAACATCAGCTAAATAAAACTGTGGATGAATTGACTAGTGCGTCAAATGAATTAACAAGGCTGACCCAAGAGCAGGAAGACTCTAAATCAAAGTAAAATAATCAAAATATGATTAATTTAATAAATTAATAAATTAATTTTATTTAGGTTTTTTAATTTGCTAATAACCCATCAAAATGATAGGCAGTTAATTTCTCAACTTGAAAAACGGTTATCAGATGAGAAACGACAAAGGCTATCATGCGAGTCTCAGTTACTCTCAGAAAGGCGACAATTAAAAAAAGTTGAAGAACTTGCAGCTTCTAGATTATCAGCTGTAACTACTAAGTAAATGTTTTTTTTTTTTATAGTATTATTATTCATTTAGTTTTATTATTAAATACTCAATACACACCACTTGTTATACATTTTAGACCAGAATGTACAGAAAGCTGCAAAGTTAAACGAAGAGAGTTAGAAAATGAAGCTAAAGCATTACGAAAAGATCTTAGGATAAAAGATGAACAGTATGTGGCAGCTCAAAAAGAAGCAAAGGTAAGATAAAGTGGTACTAGAGGGAAAAAAATCTCTTCAAAAAATATTAGTAAATAAAAGCGCTATTGTAAATACATATTTTCATAATAATAATAATGAATTTATAAGTGAATTTTCAAAAAATCTAATTTTACAGTTGAAAAATATTATTTTATCATACTACATACAATGATTAGAAATCTAAATATTCAATATATATTGATACATAGATTCCAATTTCCCAACACAAGTATATCTACATTATATTATTCTATTTAGTACAAGTTTTTCAATTAGAAATCAAAAGCAATAAATTGGAGAAATAAAATAATTTGATTCAATAATAAATAGGTAACATAATTGTATCTTACATCAGTGGTCTTCAACTAGTGGGTCGCAATAAGTCTTCTTTTTAAAATAAAAATTAAATTTATAAAATTATAAAAGGTAAAAAAATAATTTTTTAATTATTAAACTTAAAAAATTAATAGATGAACATACAGTTTAAAAAATTTTGTAGTGTATTATGTATCAACAATATTATATAATTTAGTCTAAATATAATATTATAATGGATATCAAATCACAGTTTGTTTCATATTACACTTGTATGATTCTACGTAGTAAGATATTGATTCAATATTATTGAATATAATAATTTACAAATAAATTGTGCTATTAATAGAATTAATATACATTATCATTAGAGTACTCTACGCCAACTTTGCGTTAATATTTTTTTGTTATTAATAAAGTAAATTATTTAATAAGATGGATAAATTTGTTATTCGGAAAAGTGGTCAAATTAATACACATGAAGACATGCCAACGTTATTACAGGTACCTTCAACTTCAAACGAGAAGGAAAACTCCCACAAAAAAAAGAAATCCGAATTTATTGGTCGAAGATATGATGAAAATTATTTAAAATTTGGATTTTGTCCATTTAATATGGGAGATCAAACCAATTTGGTTTAACCACAATGTGTAGCCTGAGGAGAATTGTTCACAAATGAAGGTATAAAACCATCAAAATTAAAAAGACATTTAGATACAAAACATCCAAATTTAAAAGAAAAATCAATAAAATATTTCAAATCATTAAAACCTAACTTTCATAAAAATCAAAAAATCATATAAAAATATTCATCAGTTTCGCAGTCTGCTTTAAAAGCATCATTTTTAGTCTTGTATAGAATTGCAAAATGTTTGAAACCATATACCATCGGGGAAGAACTAATATTACCTGCTGCTACAGTTTCTGTGTACAGAAATGATAAATGAAAAAGCTGCAAACCAATTATAAAATATTCCTCTCTCTGATACTACAGTCACTAGACGTGTATTACTTATTAGTAATGATTTTAAATTGCAACTTTTGTCTTGGTTAACAGAAAAAATTCTCTTTACAGCTTGACGAGAGCACCAATATTGCAAACGAAGCGATTTTGTTTACATATATAAGGTATTTTTATAACAACGAAATCCACAAGGATATACTGTTCTCCTCAAAACATGAAACTTCAACTACTGGAAAAAACATTTTTGACACGTTAGTAAACTTTTTTACTAACAATAACGTAGATTTAAAAAATTGTATTTCTATAACAACTGATAGGGCAGCTGCTATGACTGGAAAATACGTCGGACTGTCGGACTAATAAAATAAGTAAAAGACATTGTTCCAAGTTTAAAGTGGATATTGCATTCTACACCGAGAAGCACTTGCATCAAAAAAAAAAATGCCGAAACATTGCCTGATGTCAGCACAAATTGTTAAAATTATAAATTATACAAAATCAAAAGTGTTTTTAAATTCACGTTAATTTAAAATACTGTTCAGAAATGGGTTTATTCCATGAATCTCTATTGTTACACAATGAAGTATGTTGGTTATCAAGAGGTAAGTGTCTTTAAAGAGTTTACGGATTGAGACACGAAATAATTTTATTCTTAAATAGTAAAAATTTAATCTACAAAGATTTATTTAAAGATTCAAAATGGATTATTATTTTGGCATACTTAGCTGATATTTTCAATTTACTCAATGAGTTAAATCTGTCTATGCAGAGCAATTTTTTTAAACATATTTGATCATACAAAAAAATTGTATCATATAAGAAAAAACTTTGTGTAATAAAAGCTCTGGAAATATTGATAATTTCACCAACGTTAGTGAGTTTTTTGAGGAAGATTCTTCAATCAAGTTTGAAGACATTTCTGAGTTAGTAAACGAATATTTGACAAACATAAACAAATTATTTAACCTATATTTTCCTGAGGATATTCGAGTAAATTATGAGTGGATTGAACAACCATTTGCAGTAGATATGTCTACTGACATTGAAAATCAATTAATTAAGCTATTGTGTAATAACAGATTGAAACAAATGTTTTGTGAAACTTCATTAGAAATATTTTGGGCACACTTATGCATGGGAAATTACTCAGAATTAGCAACTAAAGTCATCTCAATTTTATTAATATTTCCAACGACTTATTTATGGAAAAGGTATTTTCTACTATGGCAAATTTGAAGACGTTTAAAAGAAATAGATGTGAAACTGAAGATGATTTATGGATTGCTCTTAATCAAATTGAGCCAAGGTGGAATTTATTAGGACAAAGTTAACATTAAATATTTTGTATCATATTTTTATTTTATTTCATATTTTCATATGAATTCTATACATTTTCAATTAATATAAAATAATTAAATATTCTACCTACTAAAATGTAATTTTTATTTATTCAGTTTTAATAGTATTACTTCAAAGCATTAAGCAATTTTAGCTTTTTTACAAAGCTTATGTGGGTCGCGAAAAATGTAAGCCTAAAAAAGTGGATTCCGAGTCTAAAAAGGTTGAAGACCACTGTCCTACATCATATTATTATTTTATTATATGATTCATTATTATATATTTATTATCTAACTATTTATTAAATTATTTATAACAGTATTTATTCCAAATGTTTTTTCCTCTCAATTCAATAAATTAACTCTTAGAATAGTGAAGTAAAATTATTATATTAATTTGTTTTAGGAGCTTCTACCATACAAACAGAGTCAAGATAAAATTGACTTTGTTATGTCTGCATTGTCTACATTAAAAGACAAAAATGCTCATTTGGAACACAGTCTGAGCGCAGAAACGCGCATTAAACTTGATTTATTTTCAGCGTTAGGCGAAGCCAAACGACAGCTAGAAATTAAAATGAGTAATTTGTTTTAAATTTTAATATTATTGAATAATTTAACAATTCAGGTTTATATTGTTAGATACAATTTCATCTCAAGAAAAAGAGATTGAAGAACTTAAGGCTAAAATGTCTCCGGCAATGATTATGGTGCCACCAAATAACACTTTCCAAGTGGTTAACTCAGTTGGAGGATCCCCAACAATGATGTATGGCGGTAGTAATTCACCACAATCTAGCCTTGATCCAAATGCCACTATATATACACCTAAAAAAAGTCCACATCTAGTCACGGAAGCTTAACTTTTTTTAAAATATATAATAGTAAGTATTTTTATTTAATTTTTTTATTAAATGCAACGTATCATATAACTTTTAGTATGACAATATTTATTTGTTAACTAAATATTATATCCATTGGAACAAACATAACAATATTAATAACTAGAGCGCGGATTTTAATGCCCTAAAAAAAACCTAAAAATGCAATTATGACCTAAAAAATTCAATTAATGACTTAAAAAAAATGTACTAAAAATATGAAAAATAATTTTAAAAAATGCTCTAAAATTGTTTTACTTTATTTGATCAATGCTTACAGCTGTTTCTTGATTTTATGTTTCTTGTATTTTAATGGTCACGTTAAACTGAAAATTAATTTTAAACCAGTAAATTAAAAATAGTATTAGGTATAAACAGTCAAAATTTTAAAAAAAAAATCTGCTTTTTTATAATATTTAAGTATTTTACCTTGAGATAGTATGTGATGGTTGCACTGCACAACAATATACTGTGTAATGTGTTCAAATGTCAATGTTCTCCGATTATCAGCTAATATTTGTTTATAAAATGAAAAATTTCTTTCGACATCTACAGAGGTGATTGGTGCAAATTTCATGTAGGTCATATCATCAAACGTGAAGTCTTCAGGAACGGTATCCTCATCTCGTGAAACAGTTTTTCCCTCCAAAATGTTCTTAATGTTTTTAGTAACTTTAAATCAGTTATTCTTTTTTAATACAGCTTCAAGTTTTTTTTGTATTTCTTTACCTTGATCACTGTTGTTTCGATTAATAAAAACTTCAGCTTCATCATTTATATTTATTGCGTCAATTAAAGAAAGTCCAGATTTTTCAAGACGTGTAATACAAGTGGGTAAACTACCGTAGTTGGTCTTCACAAATGCCAAACTTGCCTCCAGTTCTTGCTTAGCCAATAGCTCTTGTGACTTTTTAATAGCTGTAGAGTCGTTTTTTGTTGAGTTCGTTTACAACTGCCTTAATCACATGGAAATGTTCAAAATAGTAATTTGCTGCTGACAGTCGAGTACTCCAGCGAGTTAAAATAGGTTCTGGCGGCATCAAAATTTCGGGGTCCAATACTCTTAAATAGAAGTACATGAGACGGAGCTTAAAAGGAAAAATGTTTTAACATTTGATATGAGAGCATCAATTTCGGGAAAATTATTTCGAATTTCCTCAGCAATTCTATGCAATCCGTAAAACAAAACTGTTTTCGTTTGAATATTAGAAATAGCTGATTAGAACGATATGTATAAAACTATATTTCGTTGAAAAACGGAAATTTTGTCCACTAACGTGGACTATTAATATTATGGCTAGGCCCACTATACACACGTAGTCTGTTTTATTGTTATCGACGTTATTGTCATCAACTATTGTCATTTACCATAATTCATATATGACACAAACGATAGTGTAGTTTTCAATAATTTAGTAAAAGAAAAATATTGAATACTTGAAATTTTTTTATTTCTCTCCAAAAATGCTACATTTTTCAAAAATATGATAATAATAACCTTAAAAGTAGCGAAAATGACCAAAAATGCAAAATAAAAATTGAATTACATGAATCTACATTACTTGAAACGCATTTTTGCCAAACTGAGCATTGCGTAAGGATTTAGGAAAAAACATTCATTTTACATTGAAATCCGCGCCCTATTAATAACTTTAAAAATTATTATTATTAATCTTTTGTTGAATCAAATTATTTTGTTTGTCCTACTTCTATAGATCCGAGTTATTGGCTTCACTGTATTAACGTGTAGTCAAATGTATAGCTCGCTGACTGCCATATTTATTGAAATCAGATACTCTTAAATATTTTTATGTATTTCATTACTTTTTTAACTTTAGTAAAATGTGTTTTTGTTTTAGTGTTTGTTAACAGAATCACCTTGTTCTTCAAAAATTGACTTCAAAATTGTTTTCTTTTTCCAAAAGATATTATTGTACATTAGATACCTTAGTGATATATAAAGTGGTAAAAATTGACATTAAATAGAAATCAGTTTCTTTTACTAGTATTATTATTTTTAAGAAAATAGTACAAAAATAACTTATGACATTGAATAATAGTTTATTATCCCCAGTCTCATTTAAAATTATTTTTACCTATTTTCTTATACTACATAATTTAATTTAATTTTTTTTTTCTTCAGTTTTTGACCAATGAGGCATCAACCTCAATTAATTTAAATATTCATCTTGTTTATTTGATCTTCCAATTTGTAATATTATTATTTTGCATTCATCTGCATCTTTATTGTAATAGACGCACAATGTCCGAAAAACATAAGATCTAAATAAATGAACAAATTAATTTTAAGATGTATTATGTTAAGTTTAATCTTAGTTTTTTTTTTTTTTAAAACCATTATATAAATTTGTATATTTTTTTTTTTTTTTTTGTTCCTAAATCGGAAAAAAATCTTGTGGGATAAATATATTCCACAAGAATATTTTCTTTGTTAACATTTATGATTGTAATGATGAAAAGATTGTGATAATTTTTAGCTTAGCTCCGTTTAAAATGAATTAATGTATGTATTAAAAACATATATATATATATATATTTTTTTTTATAAAATTAAGACTTATAAATTGTCATAGATTATATTAATATTAATTTCGCATGCGTACTTAAAAAAAACTTCATTGTTCTGTTATATTTTTTTTCACTTGTAGTACAATTAAAAATTAATACTTTTTCCGAGTACATTACCATTTTGAGTTTATTTCAAAATCACATGCATATTTAAAAAAAAATAAGATATAAAAATATTCAATTTAGTTCAATAGATAATTAAACGGTATCATCTAAATTACAATAATATTATGAAATAATCTATAAAGAATCCAATTGTATAAGATATATTTTACAAATTAAAAGAATGAATGGGTAGTGAAAATAATTAGATTGATTGTTGGTGCTTATATTTACATTTTAGATACTTATAACTTATTCATAGAAAAAAAAAAAAAAACAATATATTCTTAGAATAATGTTTAAATCAAATATAAATAGAGGAAATTTAAGGAACGGGTGCATCAACTTCAGGGCTGCTAGCGTCTGGTTCTTCATCATTATAAATATTTTCAGCCATTTGCCAAACCTATAGTTAAATAAATAAAAATAAAATATATCTATATGACATTAATCGTATATAATAAAATTCATCATTACCTGCATAATGTTATCCTCAGATACTGAACATATAACCCATGGTTCATTTGGATTCCATGAAAAGTCAGATATCTTGGCAGTATGGCCACCGTGGATGAACTAGAAATTTAATAATTATCGCAATGTTATACATTTAATGTGATTTAAGTTTCCAATATTATAATAGAAATTTTACCAAAAGTTCAGGTGGACCATCATCAGCATCTTCAGGTGACTGTTCTTCACCAATTTTACTCAAATCCCAAACATGTAAACGTCTATCTGTACCACTAGATGCTAATATCGTCTCATTATGTGGTGACCACTGTACTTGGAATATTTCATCTTTGTGCGATTCAAACGAGTGTAACTTCAATTTTAGATTTCTTAAATCCCATAAAGCTACAGTCTAACAAGAAAATATAATAACCAAAATAAATACATTGATATAGAACAGTTTGTTTTAAAAAAATGTATCTTACTTTATCAGCACTTCCAGTAGCCAAAATAAATTCTGAATATGGATTAAATGATAGACAGTTAACTTCAGCAGTGTGAGCATCAACAGTGTGTGAAGGTTTACTTGTATTGTTAGCACGTGTATCCCAAATCATAAGTTTTTGATCATCAGCAACAGACCCGAATAAAGATTCATGTAATAAATGCCAAGCAACATCCTAAACAAAATTATATTGGGTAAATGGGTTTATTGTACATAATAAAATAGAAGATTGTTAAGTACCTCAACAACAGCTGTATGACCAGTAAATATAGTCTTGGCTTCTACAACTCTATGTTCTTTAGGAGTAGCATTAATATCCCATAAACATATAGTATGATCGTCAGATGCACTTAACAAATATCCATTTAAATTAGGATTCCATGATAATCCATATCCTTCTTTTTGATGACCTCTTAATCTATTTTTAAACGATATAAGAATACCTTCAAATATTATTTTAGACAGATGCAATAAAATTTTAATACACAGTACTCTTAATAGTGAATCCTAAAGGACTAAGAAATTTCTTTCATTATAGAGAAGGTTAAAAAAGAGAACTAATATATAGATTATAAAGCAAACCAACCATTATTAAGTAAATTTTTCGTTAAAAATATTTCCACTGTACCTTAAATCTGGTTGGCATTCTCCATTTGGATCAGGTTTTGAAGGATGTTTGGTATAATCGAATACTAATACATCACTTGATGGAGTTTTTGTAGCGATAACACAAGGATTTTGAGGCATATAACGAGCTCGGTTCACCTCGCCCTCGTGGTTAATTTTAATTTCAATTTCAATTTTACCACTAACAGAACCAAAACCACCATACTCTATAAATAATTAAATTAAATTAAATTAGAAATCGTAATAATAGCCATTTGTACTTTTTTTTTATTTACATACCTTGTTTTTCACCATCATAATGAGAAGAATCAAATTGTGCATCTTCATTTGGTAATTGAACACTAGCTATTAATAAATGATTTTGTTCATCTGACGTGTGAGTCCCAAGTATTAAACGGTGGATAGAATACTCTTTACCTTCAGGACTGGAAAAAGATATTTATGTAAGAATTATTAAATTTAAACTAATGATCTAATTCCAATGGGTTTAATAAGTTTATTCTATAGGTAGAACTTGGACACCTATCAATTTGTTTTGTTTTATTTGTCTAATGCGAGTATTTGTAGTTACTAATGTTTAAAGATTGTCATTTTAAAACTATGTGTAAGAATAAAAGACTAAATTTTTACATTAAGACTGATTCGACTGTATTAAGTTCGAGTATTGGCTATTAGCCTTAAGACTTTGTGGTTTTTAATTTATGAAAAATAATAAAGAAACGCATCATTTCTTAAAACTGCCGCGGCGCCATTGTCAACATTGATGTACATACATAATAATTGCAAATATCGTACAAACTTCGCAAGTACATTCGTCAAGTACGAGAGTCGTGTGGGATCGGCTTAAAACCGTTGGCGGCAAAATATTTCGGAGCGCGTTTATTGAGGTTTCGGAGACTCGAGAAGTATTAGGGCTTATTAAATTATCGGGACCCGTGTAATAAAATCAAATCCGTCTAGATGATCAGTTTGTTGATCTTTAATAATAATCGCGTAGTCGAGACTAGAGCGGCGGTATTCAAAAACCATACTCCCCGTACGCAATATCATCGGGTACCGCACCAGAAACGAGTGATTTTCGATATAGTCTATGAATATTTTTTCTGTTTGTTCGGAATATAATAATTTATAATACTCGTTCCTACGATAATATACCGTATTTTGAATTATGAAACCAGATGTCGTAATTAAGTTATAAATAATCGGTCGGAACACGTACGACTTGAACAATGTTTTCTTTTTAAATTGTAGAAAATTCTAAGATTTGAAAAAAAAAAAAAAGAGCCGATACTGGGAACAGGTATGTCGTCACTGTCGCAGATGGGCAGTTGGGATACGCGGCGTTCTTTAATTTTGTATGTGTAACCAACACAATAAACCATTGCTAACGTAAAACGATTCGGAGCGAAGTACGGTTTTGAAAGGCCGTAATATTTACGATTGTCGTCAAAATTTGATTTATATAAAAAAAAAAAAACGACTCAAATGTTTCACTGCGTTTAGAAAAGGCAAATCCACTAGCCGTTTTGAGTGTTGGCGATGACGAATTAAGTATACACGGTGATCGGCGGGTGCACGAAGATCGTACACCAACGTACGAGTCGCGAAGCAGCAACATAGAATTCAAAATACTCGGCAAACGGACAGAACACCATTGCCGTACGTTTGTTCTTTTTGACAACACGGTTGCGTGCGTGTTATCGATAGATTAAAGAATATACTCGAGCAAAAAAAAAAAAAATAAAGAAAAGGAAACCAATACGAACGCGTACGAATTTGCGTGCTGTCAAATGTACATACTATTATTATTTATAGTACAGTATATACTCAATAATTTTATCCGAACCGTGGATAATATCACTACAAGGTAATAAAATAATTGCAATTAAATCGTAGTTTTAACAAATTAACATTTTAATTTCTGGACATCTGTAAGGTTATACTTTCGAATATCGCATGCAGCAATACATTTGTACGGATTTTACGCCCATCGTCATTCATAATAGGATAATTCGCCCAATTTTCTCTCTCTCTCCCCCGGTTGTAGCAAATCAATACGATCGGTCTTGTTTATTTAGGATATTTTTTTTTTTTTTTTTAGAAAAAACCAAAACTATTTTCCTTATTCTCGGATTTAACAGGTTGGAATGGAATTTTCGATATTGCCGGACGTCGATAAAACGCGTACACGGAGCGCGCGACGATCGACGACGGGCCCCCCCGCGAAGCGCAGAAAATGCCCCCATGTATTTGAAATAACGGAATTTCCTGCCGGTGCACACGTGACCGATATTTCATCGCGCGAAAATGACATTATCGCACGGCGCTGTAGATAACACGGTCATAAACCGAGCTGTCCGCGCAATCGCGACTAACGTCGTACGATAAGACGCGCCCCGCACGACGTCTGGAAAACGGGTCGGACGCGCTTGAATATTACCGAGTTCGCGCGTGTAAATAAACCGACGATAACGAAACAACGTTTCGGAACGCGAAAAGTTGTTTTCAGTATCGGCCACGTGTTCGGCGGACGGATGTTCTGCTGGGGCCCAGTCGCCGTCGAAATCAAATTGAATTTCCGGACGAGCAATTTCAGTAATCGTACCGACAGGCATTTGAAAAGGAGCCGCTCGGAAAAATACATTTTTATTTACTGCAAAACGCACAACATACGACATACTATTATACCGGCGCACGGTTCAAATACCGACCGTGTAATTTAGGTATTATATTTTTTACACGATACGAATCTATAGACCGTACGATGAAATATCGGTCACGTGTACCGGCGGATGGGGGGGGGGGCTCTGAGATGCGTTCGATGTTGATAAACCATCGTCGTTCACGGAAAGTATTTATGCATTACTTCTGGTTCACTCGTGTAACCGAAACTCAGACAAAGTAACATGCAATCGTGCAGCTTAAAAAGACGTCTCGCCGATAACGAACGTGCGCAATCGTGTTTTACCCCGGCAAACATACGCAGTTACGGTGCTCGCTGAGTACACGGGTCGCCGTAAAAATTTCAAATAAAGAAATCCTTGCGCCGCTGTAAATCTATCAGTTTTCATTTTTTCTCGATTATTACAAATACTACCAAAAAACAAATTGTTGTCTCACGAACCAGATTGAAAAATTCTAGTTTTCTAGGTGAAAAACTGATTTTTTGTTATATTTATTCCTTGTAGCGTAAAAAAATTTTAAGTGATGAAATTGTGCTGTAATCTGAAAAAAAATATCCCGTTTTTGTTTTTCCCAATATTTATGAATTCAATCAGTATTATTACATCATCTTATACTATAGATATTTAAAAACGACTTTTGTGGATAGTGATTATACTGGGTGATTCTTATACCGTTAAACAGTCATTATCTTGGAAAGTATCAACTTTTTTGAGAATCCGTTTTATAGAACATTTAAGAAACAAGTAGCTACAACAATTTTACATTAATATAATTTTTTGGATGTAAAACACTACCTATTTTTGGTTTTCAAGTAAAAACCCAGAGTTGGTAATATACGTGTTTAAAACGTATATAAAACTAAAATCTATACAACTTTATAACGACTAAGACATTATTATTATTATTTTTTTTTTTTTTGAAGTTTATTATAACAAATCACATTAACTTGGTGAATTTTCTTAAATTTAGAATAAAATAAAAACAAAACAAATTATTTTTTGGTATTGTATAAATATTCATGTAGTTATTAATAAAGAATAAAGATAAACTTAGTAATTAGTAAAACAAATTATCACATACATCTTAGGGAATTAATATAAGATACATAAAATGATGATGAAATTCAATTGACAATTATTTTACCAGACAAAAACTTGTTCAGTTGTAGCCAAAAATAAAAAAAAATTGTACAGTATAAAATGCATACAACTAATAGTTTTATACATTCATATGTGTTTTACACTTTACTGTGTTATATGTTCCAAACTTATAGCAACCTATATTCAAAATCCCAGAAATAAATGAAGTATTCATTTGTTAAAATAAATTTTGGTGTTGACATTTTTATTCTGTCAATTCGTCAACGAGATATTTCATTTTTAATTATGGGTCGAGGTAAAGTAGTAGATATATAATTTGTGTTGGCATAGTGCGCGGCATTTTAATAATGCATTGCTACTCTCCTCTGACCCGAACTTAAAAGTAGAAAAAAAAAATCAAAAATCGTCAATACTTTTCAAAATAATGAGTAATTAACGATAAAATTGATGTTAATAAAGTATATAATAAGAATAAGTTATGTTGTATAAAAACATGTATTATAAGGTAACAAAATTGATCTGTTATAACTTTTAGATTAGTGCAATATTTCTAGTAGAAAACACAAGTTGTAAATATGTAAATATTAAAATAGTTAAACCGGGACAACACATGTTGCTGTAAACATAAATTTTTTGGTTTTTTCCAATTATTGGGAAAAACTAATTGGAAAATCAAAAAATAATCTAAAGAGAATGCACTAAGTAGACAAAATTTTCTTTCAGAAAAAATACTGTACATCAGAGTAAAATTTCTTTTCCAAAAGTTGATAGGAAGAAAAAAAAAGCATATATCATATTAAAATCAATAGATTCCTTACTATAAGTATGTTCCTAATTTTGATTTTGCTGGTGCGTCGCTTTTAACATTAAATGAGTAATACTATAAGAATGCCTGCCAAAGACTTTGTAAAAAAATGTATTATTAAATTAATTAAATTTTATATTATGATAGTAAAACTGATATTATATGATAAAGTAAAAAATTATTTTAAATTGGAATGGAGGCTGAATTCAGAAATATCTTTTAAGAGTTTCAAACAAATCTTGTTCTCTATGAATTCTGCAAAGTATGATTCCACAAAATTTCTTTTATTTCCATTGTGCTTTGTATTTCCCTATTTAGCAGAACCCCACAACCTCTTTATGTTTTGGGTGTATGACTGTCTGAATCAACAAAACTATAGGTGTGGTTAACAGTTTTATGTTGGAATCTTACTAGCTGCAAATTTGTGTAAGCTTTCTAACAATTTGACAAAATTATTGATCCTGGTCTCATATATTTTTGTATGTTTTCTCCAATTATTCAGGTACACCAATTATAAAACATATATTGGTTGCCCGACATATTCCACCAAAAATCCATTTTTATGTAATGTAATCTCCATTATTTTTTATTTAAGAGTAATGGGCCAATAAATTTATATTAGGAGAGCGATAACAAACAACTATCTATATTTCTGTTTTGTTTGCTTAAGATTTTAATTCACTACAAGTAAATAAAATAACTAGTAAACAAACAAATTTTCTGTTTTTGAAAGAAAAGTTTTATGGAGAATTATGGTCCAGTCGAGGAAAGGGTAACGGGAGAGTGGAGAAGAAAAATGCAGAGCTGGAAATATTGTTTAGCGATTTGGACATATTAAAGTCATCAGAAGGGGAAGAGTACAATGGACTGGAAACATGCTTGTAGAAACCAAAATATGCCAGATACGTGCAGTTATGGAACTGAATCCAGTAGAGGAAAAGACTGATGGGAAGACCACAAATGAAATGGGAAGATGTTATAAATAAAGATGTGAAATGTTTGGGAGGAGGGCCTAACTGGAGGAATCTAACGTTAGACAGAGATGGTTGGAAGCTTGGCTATGAGACGGTATGGTCCTAAAGGCCCAATAAACCCAAGAGAGAGAGACAAGTAAACAAAAAATCGGAATGATTAAAGGGAATTTATTGAATTTTTAGTTCAGTTCAGCCTAAATTACACATTAAGTTTAAGCCCAATTCTACCAGTTTCATCAAAATTAATTATTGTGTGGCCTGGTCCTACACAATCACTACCAACAGGTTTGTAGACATGGTTGTATAGGGCATCAGAATACAACATGCATATTATTTAAAATAAATAATATATTTAAATTATAAATTACTAATCTGCCTTCTAATTTTTCAATTTAATTACCAACAGTATCAGAATAACATACCTTCTATTTTTTTTTCTTAACTTGAGCGTAAGGTACGTAATTTATAATTTATTACAATTTTAGACATTTCAACTAGGAAATACATAAATGGGGAGATTTTGGCCTACTGATAACTGTATAGATTACTGTCTATACTATAGAGAGTACCTACAGGTATGGTGGAGAGAAAATCAATTACCGAGTAACGTCTGGAAGCCATTGAGCTGTGAGTGATGGCCATTCAAGGGCATGTGTCATGACCAGGTCGTACAAGAATGGGGTATTCTTCTTCCATATCTTGTATTCTTCATTAATGACTCGTTCTTCAACCGCCTCGTCAAACGTATCTAGAAAATCAGAATGAAATATTGTCAATAATAAGAATCTTTGCAACTTGCCTAAGCTTGCATACTTACCACCTTCTTTGTCGCCCATTTTCTCCGTAGTCACCGATAAGAATTATATTATTGTGAACAAACACGAGTTGTCCAGTCGACGCCGGCGTACGTTTGGAACGAAGGGAAATGTTATCGTTGTAGCACCTAACTACGGAGAACCGATATTTTACCGGGTATCCAAAGCGGTGAGCATACAAACGAAATACATTAAAGATGATGAAGCACGGAACGTCAATAAAACCGTGGGAGAAAAAAAAAGGAAATAACAATAAATTGCGCCAAAAACACGCGAAACTAAAGAGAGATGATAATCAAAAAACGCCGAGTAGCGGTTGGGATATTACTCTGTGGGTTAGAAAGAGACAGCAAATTGAAAAACGAGTTGGCCGCTGTGGTTTCTTCACAGTGCAGCCAACGACGGTGACCCGGTCCGGAAAAAGTTAGAAACGGACGTGTCGATGAGTTGGGTGTGCGTGAACGGACATCACTTCATTCAATACGTTTTGTTTATTTATTTTTATCAATTAAACTGACGTCTGATAGCGATACGTTCAGGTTTAATTAACCATCTTCATGAATATACTCCGCACAAATCAAACTTGTGGCTGTGCTACGATTACGAATTAGTGCTGTAGATAATATCAAATTATACTTTAATCGTCGACCACACGACATACCGCCCCATACATATGTGTTCAGACGACTGTGTTTCTAATGTCGACGAGTATTCTCTAGTGCACGTATGATGATTTTGTGTTTTACCATACAAGGTAATATTCGAGTGTTTCTATAATGCGATACGATTTTATAATTTTTGTTTTAATTTACCTTTATTTGTAGGACATACGATATCAAATAATCATTATGACAGACAGTCAAATGGTAATGGTGGACGCAGAACGCGGTGTGGAACGTACCCAAAACAGTTCTGCGACAGAGGCATCGAGCACGGCTAGTGATTCGCCTACGCCCACAAACAGTGTCCAAGATAAAAATTGGGTTCATTGGCACGGACCAAGTAATGAATTATTAACCTATTTAAATCAAAATAAATTGTTGTTTTTTTAATTCAGTTGATGTATTTATAACCTACCTGTTGAACATTAATTGTAAAACATGTTGAATTAGTTTTCATTCATATAATATAATTAAAAAAAAATAAAACAAAAAAAAGTTCAATTTAAAAATCTTAAATTTACTGTTAAATTATAGATCTCAATAAAGCTAATAGTTTTAAAATTACCTTATGTCTTTGTATTTATCTTTTTAACATTTTGGGACAGTAAAAATGTTCAATAAGTTATTACTGTAACTTAGTAGACAGTTAACATTGACATAACATGCATGTTCCCACACCAAATTACTGATTTAGGATATGGCCCTAATCTATAATAGTTTTCATCATATGGAGGATTTGGTTTTCTAGCATGGGGCGATGAACAAAGACAATTATTAGGCACTGAAGAAGAAGCAGATTCGTCTGATTGTGAAACGGTGTCATCTGCTAATGGTATTGGAATTTGGAGTATGAATGAGGAACAGAGTAAATATTACGAAGAACAGTTTGCATCAATGCAACCTAATCCAAAAGCATTATTATCAGGCTCAATTGCCCGGTCATTTTTTGAAAAGTCTCGTTTGCCATTACATGAACTCAAAGAAATATGGTAACTTTGTTGAACCACTAAACAATTTATTTTTTTTTTGTTTAATTCTTAATTTGTCAGGCAACTATCTGATGTAACCAAAGATGGAGCTCTTTCACTCGCTGAATTCAAACTGGCCATGCATTTAGTAGTTCTCAGACGCAACAATATTACTCTTCCTAAAAAACTACCGCCTTCATTAGTGCCACCTACTGTGTCACCAGTACAGATTAATGTTGTAAAAAATACTGTTGTGTCACCAACTTGCAGTATTAAAAGCAAAGAAGTAAATGCTATAGTAATATTTAAAAAAAAAAATAAATATTATTTACTCAAAATCTTAAAAAATTGAAATAATATTTTTCAGTGGACCAAGTTTATTGATTCACCAACTAGTTCATTGTCATCACCTGGTCCTAAGCCAGTAAATTTTGATTTTCAAAAGTCATCTGTTGAACAGGTATGTTAATGTTACTTAAATTATAATTTTGTTTGTTTTAATTTTTTTTTTTAAATATATTAGTTATTTCATTAGAGTATTATCTTATAATACAATGGTTCTCAAACATTTTTGATTTTTAGTGTCTTTTTTTTAACTAATCTTTTTTCAAAGGGTCTCTCTAAGTTGAAACATGAATAATCATTAAAAAAAAAATAAGTAAAATAATCCAGATGAATTTTGAACTTTTTGTAATAAACTAGTGAAACATAATTGAATATTTGATATACATAGATGCGTCTACACATTTTTTTTTTATAGTTATTCTGTGATGTTACTACAAAGAAACCACAGGCCACACTTAGNATAATTGAATATTTGATATACATAGATGCGTCTACACATTTTTTTTTTAGAGTTATTCTGTGATGTTACTACAAAGAAACCACAGGCCACACTTAGATAACCATTAGTATAGTAACTTTTTAATTTATTGGATTAAAAATATTTAATTAAGTTTATTATCAAGTTTAAAGAAAAAAAAAAGATTAGTAAATTATGAAAGTAGAAACAATTGGGTTATTAGTATAAAGAAAGAAACAATATCATTCAGACCAGGGTCCATAACCATTATTAACTAAATTTCATTAGTATAATATTTTAATTAATAATTTTGTATTAACTATAATTTTAATATTACAAATAATAATGATATTTTCAAAGCATAAAAGGTAATAAGTAAAAACAATTATCATTTGGTCATTTTCGATTTGGTCGTTATTTCCAACTACACCAATGTATGTTACAACTACCACTATTGCAAACAACCAAATTTGTTTTTTTTTCGTCAAATTTTTTGTACAACAAATTTATTTGGTTTTTATATTATACATTATAATAATATTAATTATACAATTTAATCAAATGTCTCTATTAGTATCTATGTGCTATTACTCAAAATAAAGCATTTGTTTGTAATTGAGGATAAAAATCGTAATATTAATAAAAGAAATTAATTATCGTAAACAAATGAATTTGCTGTATATTAATGTATCTCCATTTAATTCATAGTTGCAGTTGCCAGATTTACATAGGACATTTCTGAATCATACTCTTAAAAAGTGTTTTACAAGAAAATAATAAACATTAATATTTTGTGTTGGTTATTTAATTAAAAATATTCAATTAATTTTACAAAACATACATATTAAAATATGAAGATAAATTTCTTGTTTTTTGAAATTTAGAAAAATGCATTTTTGTATTTAATGAAATAATTTGCTTTTTTTATGTGGAGGAAATTCCTTAAATATTTTTGTATGAACATTTAGGATCCTAAAATCTTACATCCCGTTGCTGTTCGAGTTACGCCTGGTATTGATAATTGCTTAGAAGACCATGAAAAAGAATTACTAGCAAATAATGTTGAGGAAATGGTTTTAATTAAATCAATTCAAAGGCCTCAAGCTAAAAAACTAAGCCGTATGTACTTTTAATTATTGGTGTTTACAATATAGAGTTGCAATATTTTTAGTACAATAAAATATTATTAGAATTATGCATTTATAATTCAAATCAAAAAATATAAACCTATTATTTTTAGATGTAGGACCAGGTGCTATACCTCCACCTCCTTTACCAACATTGTATAGTGAAGATGTGTAAGTTAAAAGTTTGAATAAATTAGAAACTAGATATTTTATTTGGTTTTTTTTTTTTATTTTTAAATGCATTTTTTATTTAGTAACTCAGGACCTGCAAGTTTACCGGTAATAGTTGCGAAGAAAGAACCTCCTCCTCCGCCACCTCCACGACCATATCGTGCTCACATGCGTAGTTCCTCCCTCGATCTCAATAAACTTGGTAATTTACTTTTACTATGTTATCAATACAATTTTTTTTATATATTTAAATACTAGCTGACCCAGTAATACTTTGCTATTGCTAGACATTGCTGTTGCTATATCATTATGTTTTCTTGTCCTGCCCAAGATATGTCAAAGACGTTTTACATATTTTCATTTACTACCATAAATACCCACACAGTATAGAGTTTGCACTATAATAATGAATAATCATTTTTTCCATTTGTTACCAAGGTAATCCATAAATCGTAGATAAATTATTTAATAATCAAATTTTAGGAAAATGTGTGGCAGTAAGTTCAGCTCAGGGACCTCCAGTTGTTCCTCCTCGAATAACCCCCAGTCCAGTGAGTAATTTGTTTTAACTTTTTATTATTACCCTATGATAATAAATAATAATATAAAGTATATTATCTATATTTAGAATTCAAATGTTGAAATTAATGGTTTGAGACAAAACTGTGAAAGAACTGAATCCGGTCATCAATTTGCTGATTTTGCACAGTGTCCTGGTGCTTTTCAAGTTTACAAAAAACCTCGTAAATATTACTATATATTTATTATTTATGTTATTTAAAGTAATTATTCCAATATATAGAGCTGTATCTGGGGCTTGGTTAGACAGGCTCAGGCCAAGTGTGTGTCCCAGGAATAGGCAGAACTTAATTCAATTATAAACATTTTAATGGAATTGTGTGTGTGAACAGACATTGAAAAACCCTAGTACGGCTCTCAATATGCTTACCATTTTATAGCAATTCAGTAGTTACTAGCTCAGATTAAATAAAAGTATAGATTACTTCTATTCTGTAGTTTTACTCAAATTTCATCAGATTTCTGATATCTTAGTAATTTATTATGTTGTATAATAATTACTAAAGGTGTTGCGGGTTTTCAAAGGTCAGAACAATTATAATTTTATTACGCTGTATAATTGTACGCTATTATTGTAAAATTGTATTATTACTTTAGTAGAAATTATGTTTCTCAAAATTGAGTATTAATTTCTTGTTTTAAGTTTAAATAGCTGAGAGCTTATACAATTCTAGAAGATTCTATTTTGATTACTTTTAGATTTTTATTTAAATTTCATAAAATATTAGGTTTTAAAATTAAATCTTTTAAATATCTTAATGCCTCTCTTACACTTTCATAATTTCTTGTTATCAATTTTCAGCCCTTGCTTGTATAATATAGTAGTTAAAATAATGTTATGTAATAATTATTATATAGTGTAATTCTATAAGAGATCTTTTGAGTTATCTTGATTTTTCTCAAAGTTCTTAGTTGCCAAAATTCAAATAATTAATGCATATAACATCAAAATTGTCATCACTTTCAACCAAAACTTAATATTATATTTTTAACTTACCTTTAAAAGTTTCAGAAACTCATAGCAATGAAAATTCATCTACAACTGGATCAGAAGTACATGGTATTCAGCCATTAGAATCTTCATCATTTAACAAGTAATTATTTTTAAAAAAAAAACTTTAAAAACTGGACATTATAAAAATGTTGTTTGTTTTGTTAAGACTGGAAGAAAGAAATGCTCATTTACGTCTAGTCTATCAAGAGCTACAAAAGCAATTAACTGATTTACGGGAAGAACGTTCTGGTTTGCAATTTCTCTTAGATACAGTTCATAAATCATCTCCACCCTCATATTAATTATTATATAATTTGAAAAGTCCTTAAATTGTTATTGTTGACAGATAAATACACTTCATACATGCATATATTATTATCATTAGCAATGTTCTTTTTTAAGTGACTCATGTTATAATTATCACAAGATATTGTTAAAATTAATAATTTTATTTATTTATTTTTATTAATCATCATGTTTGGTTTATTATTATTATTATTATCATCGAAATGTATTGTTATTTTATTTAACCGATCTTAGTAGTCTACATTAAATATTAGATCATATTTTTAATGTTACTTCCATCATTAGGTATCATTTACTTTTTGTTGTGATTACTGTGGTAATGTGATTATTATTATTTATTCATTATTGTATTAATTATTTTATTGTATATCTATTTTATTACTGGTATGATTTAGTTTAAAGTTTTAGAAACAAAATAATAATTCATTTAATTTCTTTCTATATTCTATGCAGTTTAAATAGGCATAAATATTTTCACCCAATAAATTATCAGCCAAATGTTAATAAAAAGAGCTTAGAATTAAGAGTATATCAAATAAGATTTATTTTATTTTATTTATTTTTTTGAAATATTTAAATATTTGTTATGCAAAAAAAAAGCAAATTAAGAATCTTATTGTTTTATAAATAAGCATGTTATAAAACTAATAAAAGCAGCTACACAATATAAAAATTATTGATTCTTATGGCAATGTATTTTAAATATCATATTATTTCAGAGTAATATATTTATAAACACGGTTTATCTAATATTATTTTGTTTTTCTTACCCTGCTGACTTGGCAAGTTTTCAATCACCAAAAATCTAAAATTTCATATCACTTATTTGTTTTATTCTAATACAAGCAATTCACAATAATAATCTATTATAATATTATCAATTTTACAAAGTCTGATAATCTCTTATTTTTTTGTTGGTGTTTACTCTCTCCTGTTATTATTTTTAAGACCATTTTGACGCAGACTTCAACTAACATTTCTATTTTTTTCTTTTCAAAACAGTGATAATTGTATTTAACAAATGTGTAAAAAATACTATAAATATTTTTTTACTGTTTAGTATTTGAGGTAATATTAACAATAATGATTTTGATTATCATAACAAATTTTCCAATTTAAAAGCTTATGCAAAAAATTTAATAAAGATCAATAAAAAAAAATATAGTGTTTTATTAATACAATTAAAAAAATTGTGTGCAGTTGTTTTTTTAGGATGTGTGTAGTTTTAGGATGTAACAATTGAATAATATACAAATAATTTTAATCAATTTGCTAAAGTTTTTTTTTTTTCCATAAGGATGGGATACTATTTATAAATATTATCTTAATATTATAACATACATAAAAAAATTGAAAATATTTATCGTTCTAAAAAAACTAACTTTATTCAAATGAGTGGTTCATAAAATAAAATATATATATATATAAAAAAAAAAACAAATTTAACAAAACTTAAAATGAAATGTAAACAATATTATTTTTTATTTTCTTAAATGTTTTTTATACATAAAATACTTAAATTATTGAACACATTAAAAACATTTTTGTTCCAAATAGTATAATAAAATCTCATTGAAAAACACATATGCTAACCTATTTTTTAAAAAAATATAATTTATTTAAATTTATCAATTATTATAAAACACAAATTATTTTTTAAAAAAAATATAATTATAAATTGGTGTAATAAAACCTATATCAGAGATCATTTAGTTATTATTAAATGTCTGTTTTAATTTTATAGTATTTATACAAAATTTAAATAATACACTCTGAATTTATTAAATTATACAAAACAAAATGATATGATTTAAGTTTTTGAGGTAGCCTATAGGAAGTTTACTAGTTTCAATGTGTAAACAAAATATTGGTCAAATCAGATGTTGTACTGTTATTTGAAATAATATTTTCTTCATAAAATAAAAATGGTTAATAATAGTAATAAAACCAAAAGTCAGCCTTATTGTGGATTTGTTGAAATTTTAAATATTCAAAATATTAGAAGTAATATCATAGTTATTTAAAAATAATTTTATAATTAACAAAAAATGATTGTGACATATTTTGCATGATGGGTGAGCCACTATTGTAGATGAGAAGTTGAGAAAGTACGATGTAGAGGGGAATTTAATGTATATCTGTACGTAATAATTGAAATCTTTACTTAAAAAAAACGTATTCTGAACAGAGTTCGGTAATGCATGTTTGGTAATGCTGTAAAATTTTATTACTGATACTTACAATTAAATGACCTCCTAAAAGTATCAGCCTAGTAAGATTTTCTTTTAGAAAAAGTGCTATGCTTGAAAATCTGAGCAAAATTTCTGGTAGATAAATTGGTCACAGATAAAAAAAAATAATAAACTTCTTTGTAAAGCCAATACATCAATACATCCCTCACTCTGCTCAGAATTTAAAAACCAAAGTATAGATTTATATTTTGTATAAGTAATAAAATTGATTATTGATTATAAAATTTACTAGCATTAGGTATAGCAATTATAGTGGAATCATACCATATACTTGGATCCTATTATCTGTATACTTAAAATTGTTATATTTTTTTAAATCAATTATTTCTTGAAAACAAAACACATTCTTACCAATATAATTATCACATTAAACATGTTTCACAATAGGTAAATTGTATATAAAAATAAAGAATTGATCATTAATATTATCGTTAGAATTCAAATTGTTTAACAGAATACATATAATTAGTAATTACATTATGAGATATTATTGTCAAATTAACTTTGTAAGTAATGTATTAAATAAATTAAAAGTATTAATTTAATCAAATTTTTATTAATCATTCTGGTAACGCATTAATAATAAATAAACAATATTATATAAATATAAACAATTTGAAAGTATAACAATGTTCTATTTAACCTACATATATATATTATATATAAACAGTTATATTTTAATTTTATTTATGAATTTGGAATTTTTTGAAATAAAAAATAATAATGTATGTTTAATATTTCCCCTGTGATGTTTATATTTACTTTAAATTTACTTTATCGGTAAATTCTAAATTAAATCTAAATAACAAATCAAATATTGAAACTCCACAAGTAACGCATTACTGACAAATTATCTAAATAAAATATATTCTTGAAGTTCAATTAAATATTTAGAAAATTACACAAACCAATTAATTAATTAATTTGAAATAAAATTTTTATAATTGGATAGAGCACGTACACATGGAGTTCAATATTGATGTAACATATTAAACAATTATAAAATATTACTTTTAAATTATAACATCTATACATCTATATATATAATATTTTAAACTATGCAAGATACTCAATTTCAGTAACTGAATAAGTTACAGTATCTTTAGTAATCAAGTTACTAAAGTTAGATGTAAATTATACTATGCCGATTTCTAATTTAAGTTTTTTTAAATTTAATTTGTTACAGATAATTTTTATTAAAATACTGTTTAGTTTTATACTTAAAACATAATTTGTATGTATTAAAAAAAATGAATTAGTAAAACATTTTCAAAAGTACATAATGTATAAATAATATTTTAACTTAATACGGACGGATTTGTTTAAGAACTAAATTATATACAATTTTTTATGGACGGATAGTTAACTAATAAAAATAATATTACACTAGATATTACCTAGTACTAGAATAAAGGTGGACAGCACAATTTTATTATATATAAAATCAATACAAATTTGTAATTTGTGATAAAATAAATTGTTCTTATGTTCAACATTTGAATAGGAACAAAACTATTAATCAGTTTGTAATACTGGTTTAGTTTATTGGCTTTCCCATTATCACAGTGTAAAACATTTTACACATATTTTATGTAGACATTTGTAAATAAATACATTTTCCTCACTTCAAAATTAATTTCCTTATTGTTATCGTAATATAATATCATCAGAATGCAACTACAGAATTTTGTAAAATAAAATATTTTCCATTTTGGATAAAAACTTTACATTGACTTTGTTCAAAGATTTCTTTTTAAACTTTTTTTTTAAAATCCCATTATTCTTAACTATGTGGCTCCAAGTCCACTTATTCGTAAAAGTATATGTATTTTTTAAATGTATAACTGAAGAACTTGCTAAAAAGACTAGACATCACAAGAATGATGAGAAGATTAATGTGGACCAATCATGCTAGGAGAAAAGAGGGCTCACTTATTAAGAATGATCCAATTGAGAAAAGACAGTTAAAAAGATCATGCTTAAGTGTCAAAAAAAAATAAATATTAAAACGGTGAATTCAATTACATAAAAAAAAGACTGGTCTTCTGCAAACCAAGACACCCATTCTATTATGGGTTATGGATCATTTTAAAGGAGAGCTTGTAGAAACCAAATAAGCTAATAAATAATCGCTCAAGTGTAGCATTATGAAAGCAACTGCAAAATTCCTTTGGAGACAATTTGTACTTACATTGAGCAGTGTCCGGATTATTAAAAACAATGGGAGCATTTTAAAGTAATATATATAGATATATTATGATGAATGTGCATCAAAGAGGAGTTCTTTGAAGGGGACCTAGATATATCACTTATAAAGTACATATTGTTTTGTGACAAAAATAATATCATGATTAAAAATGTCACTGCATAAAAATTATGTAAAAATACAACAATCAACTTTTTATTTTTTATTCTATTTAGTAATTTAATTTAGGTAATCTATTTAGTGTGATTTATAAACAGCGATACAGTTATATACAGTGGTTAGATTAAAAATAATAATTTCTTAAATTTGTAGTTATCATTTATACAGTTTATTTACCTAGTCAAATCATATTAGTTATTCTTCAGAGTCCTTGGTTTTTCTTTTTTTTGCTACCAGCATTACATTATATAGTTCAACTTTTAAATTATTTAAGCATTCATCATCATAATAAAATTTTATAAAGTTTAACCATTCATTTAATAATATGATAACTTGACAAAAAAAAAATTTTAATTTTAAAAATTGTATAGTAATTTTTTTATGTCACATTTTTTTCTGTGACATTTTGTACATTTTTTTAACAGACCTCGCATATAGTTCAAATTGTAATTGTTTAAAATGTTCTAATAAATGTATAGAATCGTTGTAGAATGTGTTGATCTTGATTAATAAGCATTTGAAGTACTGACAGTATTTGTTTAGATCAAATAATTATTATAGTTTTTAAAGAAATCTAATAAAGAGAAAAGCTCATGTTTGTGATGGGGCCAACAGAGATTGGTAATGATATGTACCCTATGTAAAACAGTTACTATTCAACACTGTGAAAATGTGACTATAGAATTAATCAAACCTGAGTTTGTGGTATAGGTTTATTACTTATGGCCATTGGATGATCCCTCATAGAAGCTGCACTATTTGTTCTCAGAGTACTAGCCGATGCAGTTTTCTTAGGTGAAGCATTTAATGTTTTAATAGGTGCATCATGATATTCATATATATTACTGGTTATACTACGATTATCGATACCTTGGCGACTCATTGCTATTGGTTCTTCTCTAACAACCAACACATCACCATTATAATAATGATCCTTTGATCTAAAAACAAATATTTTTTTAATTATAAATTCATATTATTGGTCATTATATCAATTACTTTTTAGCATTGCACCACAAAATACAAAGCATCACTGTTAAGGCGACTAAAATCATATTGAGACCCGATAGACTCCAAAATGCCACTTGAATTGGAGTTTTAGGTTCCCACCAAAACTATATTAAAATAAAGAGTAATAAGTACATCATTTCAATTTATAAACCTCAAAGGTATAGATTAGGGGATCTTAATTTAAAATGTGATTTGATATATATGTGAACTCAGAGCACATGTGAATGAAAAATTTGTATTCACATATAATTAATAAACATGAATTTAATATCTGTGTTACATGTTCTAGTGTTATTTACGTACTCACGAATATTAAGTTATCATTATGTAGTACCCATGGTTAAATAAATTTAGCCATGGTAGTACCTAGGTACTATAGTGGAAATATTAATAGATCACCGGCCTTTATACACTGCAAATGTCGAGTTAATAAACTAATTATTATTATATGTTGGAAATTCAATATACTCGTTTATACCAAAATATGCGAAAAAACATGAAATAGTGAGCTCTAGTATAAATACCAATATTTTTATATTTAATTTTAATTTTTTTTTTTTATATTCTACATATAAATTATAAGAACTTACTTCTGTGGTAGGGGGATATGTTGGTACAATAATACCAATAACAGTGGGTAAATACTCTGACCAAAATGCAGATTCCATTTGTCTATAATTTTGTTTAATAGTCGCATTGTATGTTGTGTTAATGTTTAGGTATTTTAGATTACCTTTGTATGCCATATCAAAATGTATACCTAAAATCTGAGAATGGCTTGGATTCCTGAAATAATAAAAGCAAAAATGTATTTAAATATTAATAGAGGGGTAAAATAAAATAATAAAATCCACATGAAAAATAGTTTAAACTTTGCCAATTCGTCCATTGAATTTATTCTTTAACTGTAATACATATTTTTTATTTTTTTTGTAATTCTTCCTCCCTTTTTTTTTCCTATGTTTATTTTCATTACATATCTTAACTTTTTTAGATTCTTCTCACCCCATGACATATCCAAACCATCCCAAGTATAATTTTTTTCATTTTGTCTAAAATCAAAGCCACTCTTATATATTCATTCCTTATCCTATATTCTCTTATCACTCCACTCAACCACATCCACCTAAGCATTCTCATCTCTGCTAAATTCATTCTCTGTTATATTTTTCTGACTACGCCCAATAATGTGAAACATACAACAGTCTTACCACATTATAGAGCCTAACTTTAAGTCTTATTAAATAAATCACCTGATGTTTCTCTTTATCTAACCACACTTAATCTTGTATTTCACATCCTCAATAAAGCCTTTTGTACAAAGGTCCTAAATATTTAAAATTCTTAAGCTCATCAATTATGTTATCTTTATTTTCGTTAGCTGTCATGTCCTGTTCCTCCAAACTCATACTCTGTTTTACTTCTACTTATCTTTAGTCAGTTTTTTTTCAAGTACTCCTCTCCATTCCTCAAAGTTATTTTTAACTTATTTCAGTTTTCTCCTATCAAAGCAATATCATCTGTAAACACATCATGCATCATAGTACCTCCATCATCTGCTGTCCTCACACACATCTGAGATGGAATACAAATCGGCTAAAGTCTTGTTTAAAACTTCTCATACTGCTAGACTTGTACACTGGCTGTGGACCTGACACAACACTTTGTTAGACAGGTAAAGGTACTTTTTTTAGTAATTTGATAAAAAAAGTTTTATGTACTATTGATTACCTATCATTCCTAATTTTAATATAATATTTTTATTGTTAATTAAAAAGATATATAATATATAAGAATTTGGAATGGGATTTTTGTTTTGTATTTGTTGGTAATTTTTCTTCTTTAGAGCTTGTTGAAATTTTATAAATATATACATTATTCAAATAATCACTTACCCATAAGTTGCAAAATTTGTATAAGCTTTCATGAAAAAATGACTCATGTTACGATCATTATCAGTCCATTTTCTTTTTTCCACAACTGGTGAACGAGGAAAAAACTCTAAACATATTATTTTATCCATAATAATAACAATAAAAAAACAATTATTATATACATAAAACTATAAATTACCATTATCCATAAAAGGAGCACCGGTTAAAAAGTAATACTCTGTATCATGTGAATACAATCTCCAATCAGGTGATGGAATACTTGTAACAGTGGTATTTAAAACATACAAATACACTGGAATATTTTCAGCCACAAGTAATTTAGACATTTGATCGTGAGGAGCAACAAACAAAAAATCTGATAACATCTAAACAAAAAAAAAAAAAATACAATATTTATTTATTTAAAAATTAAATTGTCTTACGTTTATATACTGATTCCTTATTGAATCTGGATCTAATGGATCAGGCCAATAAGTATATAAATATTTAATCGCTTGGAAAACTCCAGAAGGATTTAGTGTATAATTATATTGAAGAACTAGTTCTCTAACTTTTTTGTTAAACAGTTCTTCAGTTACTGAATAAGTTTTATTTTTATCTACCAAAGAAAATAGTATTGTTACCAATGATGTTATTTACTCAAATATGCATAAATAATATTCTCACGTAATATATATGCTGCTTCTTGAGTGGTAACACCACTTAAGTATCTGAGATCTTTGTTAAAACGACCTGACTGGATGGCACTTTCAACAGAATCATTAATAAAATGCCAATCAGATTGTTGCCAACCATCGTACCAATCACTTTTAGGTACCAAAAACTCATTATCAATTATTGGTCCCCAAGCATTAAAACCAATTTGAGGCTAAATAAATTGCATCAAAATCATTTTTAATTATAATTAATTAATTTTTTTTTTTATTATTATCCATACCTTAAAATCTGCTCCAAGTTCCAAAAAACTCCTACCTCGTTTCAAACAATCAACAATTTTCCATGTAGAATCAGTACTGCAGCCAATGTGAGCAGCATATACTTTGGTTGTATTCAAAGCCCTCCATCTGTCTTTTATAAGTGCCCAATCTGCAAGAGCTGAACCACTCTAGAAAATCAAGTTAAAATGTTAATAAATATAATCATTAATAATTATAATTTTAAAAATAAATATGATAAAAAAAAGGTAATGTCATAAGTTGCATGCACAACTCTTGACATAGTTGTATAAACATTTTTTTTTTTGTTTTTATACTTTCATTTAAGAAGAAACAGGAATAAGTTAAAACAAATTGACATATTTTAATTACCTGAGCAATAACTTTTGAAACCATAAAACTAGTTTTAGGATTAACCATCAACAATCCAGCTGATGCAGCACCAGCATCCGGTCCAAATAAAGTAATAGATTTTCGATCACCAAGAAAAAATTCAATATTATCATACACCCAGCGAAGAGCCATTGCTTGGTCCATAATCCCATAATTGCCCGGTGAATTTTCATCACAAGTACTCAAAAATCCTACAAATAATTAAAATATTATAACACAAATTTTACATTAAATATTAAAATTTATGATAACCTACCCAAAGCACCTAAACGATAATTAATTGCTACAACAACAACATTATAAAATGCTGCCATCATGTGTCCATTAAAAGAATTGGATGAACCGTGAACAAAATCACCACCGTGGATATAAAACATAACAGGATATGGTTTGGCTGGGGCAACATCTGTCTTTATTATTAAAAAAAATCACCAATTCTCAATACATTTTTATTTACATGTTGTATAAAAAGTATAAAATAAACTTACAGATGGCATGAATATATTCAAATATAAACAGTCTTCATCGACTTTAGGCACACCTTTGGTAATGCCTATGTAAGCAGCAGGCTGAGGGCATGCCGGTCCAAAATCAACTGCTTGATGTATCTGCCAACCTTTATGAGGACGTGGGGGCTAAACAATAATATACTACATTTGAGTAATGTACAAGTAGAACCTACCTAGAATTTAATAAGTTTATTTAAATTAGTTATAAACCTTACACGAAATCTGCCTTCGTTTATTGGAGGCGCTGCATATGGTATACCCAAGAACACAGCTACTTTAGCTTGTTCCCTCTCAACAGGAGTTTGAAAGGGCCTATAACCGCTCTCAGGTAGGGGATTATCATAAAGATGCACTTTAAAACCTTGTACTTGGCCATATTTTGTGGACACAAATACATCCCTGTCTAATTGTTTAGAATCTGGCCTTTCTTTTCCTTGTAAATCAGGTCGCCACCGGCCAAGAATCCCAGGTAGTAATATTGTTTCATCGCCCTGTAAATAATCATCATAAATTATATACATTGAATAAATAAATCAGATGTAAAATAGCTGGTAGCAAGCAAAATATAGATAGACCTCTTTCAATATGGGTTTAATTTGATTTTAAATAGGTATAAAACAGAAGTAGGTAAGTGGCTACTCACCGGATAATTATAGCCTGGATAGCCATTTGGTCTATACGAAGGAGTTCCTGAGCGGCCCTGTTGATTGTAGGGCCGATTTTGGTAATTGTTCTGTTGACCATATTGGTTTAGTTGTGGGTTGTACGGATTAACCGATTGTGGCGACTGCGGAGAATAGTTATCGCCACCGTACGTTTGGTACCTGTAATCTTGGCCATTGATGGTTTTCACCGTAATTGACAGTGTCAGGATGGTGAACAGGGTGTGACACTGGGTAAATAACATAACAAATTTCGGCGATGCGATCACAAGACGAACAATCAGAGATCATCTGAACTGCAATAAGCCCACTTGAATATAATAGACATAACGGTCTTGGGAAAATTAACTAGAATAGCGGCTATAAGCCGAAATAAAAAAAAGCCCGTGAGAAAAATACTGAACGTTAAAAAATCAAAACCATTTGTATATTTTATTGTTTTTGTTAGTATAACTGGCCCATTTCCTGTGTTCTTAACATTTTTTTCGCCAGTGCAGCCAACATTAAAATTTGATACCGTTATATAACAGTGATTGCACTGCACATTGTCTCCGTAACAATAACCCTTGTTTTTTAAACTTTGGACACAGGTCGCAGAGAAGAACTTACTGAGGGAACTTATTTATTTTAAAATAGACAAATTTGGTATTTTCTGTTATTTTGAAAATAAAAATGCCGATAGTTCATTAATTATTTGGGCTATTTGAAATATATAAAATAAAAAATATTAAATACCTAATTGTTAAGTCACATATTAAGATAATAAAAACATATTTATTTATTATTATATTTTTTTAATTTCAGTCCTTAACGGTTATGAATCATAAAAAAATCGAACTTTTTTGTGTCTATCCATGGTGAATTGTAAAGTATAACAGTGAAAATTAAAATTATTAAATACTTATTAGTAAACTTTATAAAACGTAGTTATAGGTACGTACTCGTTGCAGTATAAAAATATAATACCGACTTATGAAACTGCATCACGTACTCATATAAATGAATGCACATTGCACACAGGTGTATTTATAACACTGCAAGGAATAATATTATGTCTAATCGTAATTGTACTAATAAATATCATCGTATCTGTTTAAATGAAATACTGGGTTTCCCAATATAACTTTTACTTCATACTAGTTTATTTACTTTTATTTAACTTTATTTACTGATTACCCCCTCAAACAACCCGTCAAGACTAGCACTCGTAAATAAAAATTATAGACATTGTGTTATTAAGTTACATACAAATAAAATAAATAATAAAATTTTATAAAACGCCATTTTTTTGTATGACGAGATGATTATTGTGCGTTGCATCTGCAATGAAACGCAATAATAAAAGTTATGTATTCTTATAGCTAAGAACTTCTTCTACAAAATGCATGTATTGCATAAACTTGAGTAAATTTTTACTGTAATTTATGAAAAAAAAAAACATAAAAAAGTTCTATTGTTTTATGATTCATAAGCGAAGTATCAAGTGTACCTTTCTGAAAGGTAATTTTATCTAGTCAGTACATTGGGGAGGCCGTTTTTTGATTTTCCAAGGGGTTTTCAAAATAATTTGGGAAAAACGGAAACAAAATTATGGGTAAAATGGCAAATATTTAAGGTGTTTTTGCAGCGTTATTTCGATTTCATTGGTTTTAATTTTTGCATACTATGTTTTCTACCAGAAATATTGCTTGAATCAAAAAATGTCAAAAGACCTTTTTATTGAATTTCGGATCTTATTGCTCACAAAAAATGTCATTTTTTGAAAAATTTCATAAGAATTAGCAAAAACCAGAACTAAACTTTTTGTTACATTTTTAATCATATTAGTGAGTAAGAAAATAGTTTTTTAGTTTTTTTTGTAGGTGGTTTTTTTTTTTTTTTTATAACTGAGCAAAATCGAAAAAAACGTAGTAAAAACAAAAAATTTTTTCGAAAATAATGCTTTTATTATTTTCAATTTTGTTTTGTTGTAATTTAGTAAAAAATATTCGTAGAGACTTGGCATTTTGACACAAAACTCATATTTGTCTTTTCTAGAAGTGGTAAAATATTCAAAACATTTAAGCCATTTTTGAGTTATTTATAGACATTTTAATTTTGCTAGATTTTTACATAATTTGTGTTTGATAAGTAGAGTAGTAACAGAGTACCTGTTATTAAAATTGTTAGACTAAACAGAAATGCTTAAAAATTCAACAGGAAGTTCATTATAATTTGTACTTAGTGGTCAAAAAGAAAAAAATTGAGTTTAATGTAATATTATTTTGAACGAAAAAAAAGGGAAAATGTACTATATATATAATATTACGTCATAATGATGATCAATATGTAAAATTCTAACCCTGCGTACATAGAATAGTTGTTTACAGTATTGCACCAAGTCGTATTTTGTTTCTATACGACCATATATACTTTAAAAATATCATATTTCATATATTAACTTCATGACGCAATTAAAATTAAAATGTTACTTGTAAAACAATATTAACGACACCACTGCTGCAAACACATATATAATATTTTATTCACAAAGATATTTCGAACAGTATAGGTATCTACAAGAGAAACTTATTGCAGACGTATTAAAAATTATTAATTATTAACCTTAGGTTTTCATTTTATTCCTATGCCAGGTCTTTGTAAATTGTATCCTAATAATTGTTCAGATCACGGGATTTAGGCAATAGAAAAAAAAAATATGTTAAGACGTTTTGAAATCGATTAGCTTTGTACAACGTATTATTGGAACTATCATACCTATGTTTTAGTTTTAAAAAATAATAATATTATATATTATGACGTGGAATCGCGAAAATAAAATACATTGTATATTTTTAACCAATCGCTTATTATAATATATTGTTGTAAAAATTTTAACTTTATATTTTTACCTGAAAAACGGCAATAGTAGTAAACATATAGTATAAGTTGTACTTAGTAGGCGTGGTGTTGTGTGCAGTGTGTGACAGATAGGTCAGATTTGATCGATTAAACGAACACACGAATATTTGGGAGCATCCATAAAATATAATTATACAATTTCATATACCTAAACGTTTATGGAGTTTCGACGTTTCAGTAAAAAAAAAAAAAACCAATAATACATTATTGCTAACGAAGTACGATTCTTCGAGAGATTTGGGTTAAGCATATTTTGAAAGTGACTGGATCTTTACATTTTTCGTAAATATATAGTAAAAGAAGTCTTTTCACGGAGTAATAGAATTTTAATCCCCTAGCCAACCGTTCAGAAAAAATGCTAAAAGATTGCACTTGACAATCGACTCAAGATTTTTGGTAGAAAAGTTGTGTATTAGCAAAAAGAAAATAACACACCGCGGGCGTCATCTCAGTTTTTCAACTGGAATACAAACATTTGAATCGGGCCAATTTTTTTCCACCAGGCCATTTACACATCTTGTTTATTTCACGGACAAGAAAAAAAAATTTGTTAGTTCACATTCTCCACTTTACATTTTGATATTTAAATACTACAGAGAAATATTTCTGTTTTGTATTTCTTACATATTCCTATATTTAATCGACGACGGTGCAATTAAATAACATTTTATGGGGGCCAAAAATACATTAACAAAAAATAGAGTTGCTAAATTATAGTCTGAATCCCTTAAATGACGCCTCTGGAAAGCACACACTAGTGTATAACTAATAAATTCCTCGCTGTGTCCAGAGTCTATAGAATATTAGAATATATAGTCCACATTTTCGTAATTATTATAAGTATTTTAGTATAATTATTTTTTAATTAATACCTATCATATATTTATGAAAGCATCTCAATATTAATATACTAAGTTTTCATAATTTCATTACTTATAAAAATTATGTTATTAAAATATAGTACCCTAACTGCGTAATATTCATCTAATTATAAGTATACCGTTAATGCATTAATGAATTTACCGTTTAATCTTTTGCCAATTATCTTCACTATTCATTTTCATTATTTTTCTTATTATTGTACAACTTTTTATTTAAATATGAATCGGTATGTTTTTTATATTGATATACTGCGCTAATTTATTTGTAACTTTTTGTAAACTAACTCAGCTCTAAACCCCAAAACAAGCATTATAGCTTACAAGAGGTTTAGTAACCTATTTTTTAAGGAATATATGTATATGTATACTTGATGGTTGCAAATTACAATAAATAAATATTAAAACATTTACCTAATGCATATTTTAGCCTTATAGATACAATTTTGACTCTAATTGCACATTTTAAATATTACACGATGGACAAAGTGATAGATGATTATACGGCATAATTTTTAAATAAATTTTATCGGTTTCTTTTGTCTTTTAATTTTTTTTATACAAAATGAGTCACGTGCAGTGGCGGGCGGTTGGTAATTCTTAGAGTTCTTATCACAATATAAAACGCCACCGAGTTACATTATATTCTTGTAAAGGCAAATTATTATAAATTTTTTTTTTTTTTTATTATCATATTTAGATAATTGAAAACGTAATGCGTCGGTTGCGTTATTAACTCGTTAAATAGGTACGTCATCTAAGTGAAAATCCATAGAATATTATAATATCATTTATACCTACGTCAGCCGATAAACGATGACGTCATCGTTGACGATTATTATATTATACAAATTGTCGTAAATATTGTTTTACCCATTTTTATTTGAATCAATAGTGGAGGTCGGTACTTCATTCTCAATTCTATACAAAAGATAAAAAATATTTTGTTGTTGACTTGTTGTTGTTGATACCACACCATGATAAATTATTGAAAATATTCAAAGTACTTAACAATTATAATTATACTGTGTCATAAAACTTACTACCGAGTATTACAATAGTCGATGATAGGTATATAAGTAATATAATAAGATATAATATGTCATTTGGTAATACTAATAAATTAGTATAATAATTATGTTTGATGTGTATACAAATTTATAACTGTTCGACATTTTTTTAAAATATGATATCATTAAGTATGTGTGATATAATGATATCGATAATATTATAGTCATTAATCAATATATCATTGTCATATCATAGCCTACAATTAATATTACATAAGTATTCACTATTAAATTATCTGTAATGATTTTAATATTTTTTATAGACATTACTTCAAAGCTAATAATATTCGAATTTGTCATGTGGGAATAATTTAATACGGAAGAATATCGTTTAGGCATCATATAGCAGTTACCTACATCCAATGATAGCACGTTTGGTCATCAAAAATATAGAGGGCTGTGGAATGTTTGGACATCAAAAATAATAAGAACTAATAGAACCATATTTGGACGTATTTGGGCACTAAATTTTTATGTAACGGAGAATAATATAATATCTTGTACAAGCACTGCATGGTCTTCTAATAATATTGTATATTGCAGTACAGATTTCACTTTATGAAATATACTTATTG